TGGTGGCGCCAACGATTAGGGCATCTTATCTCCATAAAACTGGTTTGCTTCTCGTCGATTTACCGGCACAGTTTTCGATTTACTTTTCCGTGAAAACTAGGTAGAAAGGAATTCCGAGAAAAAAGCCGCCGTGTTTGATTTTTTTTCCCAAGCATTGCACAGGAATCCCAACTCGACATGACGAATCGGTCTTGCTCTTTCCTATTTTTTAACACCATTCACTTTTGGAAAATTCAAGATCTTGCGGCAAGATTTGGAAAGTTCAAATTCTTGCCGGCGATATTGGAAAATTCAAGATCTTGCAACTCACACGAGTTAACTCACCACTACTAACTTACCACCTTGTTAAACTCCGTTTTTTCCTTGAATATACGTGGTCTTAAGTTTCGCAGCTTCGTGCAAAACACGTGAGAAATAACACGTACTTCGCCAAAATCAAAGAGAGGTTATTTTTTATTTGCCCCAACCCCCTACCCCACGGACAGGACCACTTCTAACAATTCCCCACACCCGGGCCCGAAAGGCTGGACTTGTCCCGGGAGCCGCCTGGGGGGTGGTAACCGGTCAAATTGAACCATGCATTATATGGCCGTCGGCTCCAAAACTGGCCAAAAAAAGCTCTGTTTAAGTGTTCCAGTTCGCGTCAGAATTTACAGTACAGAATCATTCTGTCTCAGAGCTGGCTGGTAAGGGATGGTGGACGTGCAGTGAGATCCTTTTAGTTATTGTCTCTTAATAATATAATTACCGACTCAAATGATCAGTTTTGGTCATGTGATCTGAGAGAAATCTCACTCATCCGTGATAAAGATCATGTACGAAATTAAATGATGGCGTTGTTATCACCACTGATTTTGCTAGCATTGGTTGCTAGCTCCGTTTCATCTGCACGTATCGCTGGCTTCATGGCCCTTGGAGGATCCCAGTATATTAACATGAAAAATATCATGGAAGAACTGGCTTCTCGGGGCCACCAGGTAGATAACAGTCAAGTAATCTACGTCCTTTATTTGTGTGTCACGTTCAAGTAAAGGTTGTTGAAACGATCTCCAGACAAACGGGGCGCTTGTAATACCTTATTTTAAATTAACGTACTGAAAATACAAGCTGATTAATACTAAGGAAAATAATTTAAAGGGTTTTTTTGGCTATAATCACATAAAACATGGATTTGAATATTATATAAAGCAACCGCATTCCAAACGAATCCATTTCACCACTTCACCATTCAGGGGTGGTCTTTAGGTATGATTTAGGAGATGCGTAAAAATTCGGAACGGATTCTCTGTTGGCGTGACAGCAATATATTGCCGCAAACAGGCGAGAACGTGACGAGTCTCACCAGACTGTTGTCAGGTACTCTTTTTACTGTCTGTGCCAAAAGAAACGAAGAGGTTATGAATCCTAATATCCGTACAAAGCAATGGAACTTTGTCAAGTATATGTTTACTGGTGATGATATTGTTTCACAGAAAAAAAAAACTTTACGAACTACACATCAGAGGTCACGAGAGACCTTAGATGCTATTGCATTCCCCCTCGGAATTATCTGATCTATAAATAAGATCACTAAGAGATTAGATTTCTTGGGTTAAAATCCTTGCCTGTTTTTAGAATTTTGTAAACAAATGCAAAATCTGTTTTTACACTGAGAGAGAATCCGGATTTGGATTTTTCAACGAAACGAAATCAAATTTCCAAGCCTTCCTTTGGGCGCGGATCCGTAATAACCTTGTTCGTAAGGAATCAAGGGAAGCTGAAATTAACAATCTCATCTTCACAAGACCTCAACCAAATTAAGACTTCACAAATGCTCGCTGCTCAAATGGAACGGTGAGTTGTTTCTTTCCTAGCCTGAGATCATGCCCTCTCCCTATTATCCCTTTATGTCTCTCACGGGATCGCATGTAAAAAAGCCAGAATCTGGACTTTTTTCTGATTGGATAGGAAACAGTACGGATGATTTGCGCTGTTCCGATTGGCCAAAATGCCGCCTTCCGTTAGCTGTTGTTGATTTCAGTCTGCATTTTTGCTTGCCTAATTAGTAGTGAATACACACGCGAGCTCGTTATGAAATTTCTGCCGTATCAGTCTTGAATTTCAAGAATGCCTAAATAGAAGTTTCATCCATTGAAATATTTTCCATCTCATTGTATACTAAAACAGTTGCAGTCAAAACTTCACCGATCATTTGAATGCAATTTGATACCGGCTACAAGTTACAAAAGCGACAAACAGGTTCACTTTTCAAATAATCAATTCATGAATGATGAATGGCATCTTGACCTGGATTGACTGTAATTCCTCCCTCAGAAATCATGCTGCGAATTATTCTGAGCGATCTTCGCTTTCACAACACCTTTCAGTTCGTGAAATATGGTGCTTCAGCCTATTTTTTTTTCACCGCTTTCGGCACAGAACGAAGTGAACGAGCTTTAGCCAGTAAAATCTTTATTATTTGTAGCTGTTAAATAATACGGCAGCTCCAGCTAGCAGTACTTCATCACAAAAACAACACATTAAAAATTTTTTTTAGGAGGCACCATCTGAACATGGACGAACTTAAAAATTGTCTTTCCCTAAAACTGCTTTCAAAAAATTCTTCGCGCCAAAATTTGATTCCCGTATGGTAAACGCTTATTGGCTAATAACATGACAGGTCAAGCAGACGTTAGATTATGTAAATTAGGGGGCGGTTGACTGCTTGTTAAATAAATGTATCAGGCGTTATTTTTTTCCCTCTCGAGCCAAAGAAGCAAAGAAGCAAAACAAAAAAATAGCACCTGATCTCAGGTTATTTCTTTCCTAAGTTGAACGATTGCATGTTTGCTACCCATAACCCAACCAAGCGCCGCTCACGTTTGCGTCGCTTCGATAAACCAATCAAATACTTTTATTCTTGCAAGTTGTTCATTTTAGTTTTTTTGGAGCGTAAACGTTTGATTTTCCAACCCAGTTTCCTATTTAATTCCCCTTCGGAAATAGTATAAAGTACTCCAAGCCTACCACCAGTTCCAAAAATGTTACGTTGAGACACTCCCACGAAAAAACGACCTTTCTTGCTTCAAATCCCTCCTGGTCACAGGTCTGTGAGATATAATACTGACCTCCCTCCTCCTTCCCTTTCAAAGTTGTTCCTCCAAGTTTTGAGTATGGTCTTGTATTGCTAGCAACTTTGATAAGGGGTGGAGGGGGATCACAAGCACAAGATCATGGACAGGCCATTTATGCCAAAATACGGCACAGTGTCTCAAGTACTTTTGCAACTGGTTGTAGTTCATAGTCTACTTTTGGCTCGTTTACAGGCTCAGATTTCGTTGAGGATTTTCATGATGTTGTACATTCACTGCAAACAAATGTTTAATTAATTTTTGTTTTTAATTCTAACAGGTTACACTGCTCGTTCCATCTTCCCAGAAAATTAAACCAAGTGACATGGTTCCACACAGGATTTACCAAGTGCCTCTCAAACCGGATTATCGCGATGATCTCATTCGACTTGACTTTGAGGGATCCTGGTTACAGGGTATATCATGGAAAAGGAAGATCCTGAATATCTTGTGCGAAAGTGCTCTAAAGAGCATCAAAATGCTTGAAGAAGTCAAAGATTTGACTTGCTTGTTTACGACAGTCCTATGGGAATGTGTGCTCCGTTGGTTGCTGAACTCCTTGGTATTCCACGAGTGGAAATATTGATGTCTGCGCCAAACACCCCGTTTAGTTTTAACCACATGATTCCCATGCCTTTCTCCTATGTTCCGTCTCACTTGTCAGGATTCACTGATAGAATGACGTTTATGGAGCGATCTATTAATTTGGTTTCCTATCTTTGTGAAAAGCTTTTGCTGGATCTCTTATTTGGTAGTATAATGAATAACCTCAAGGTTAAGTACAACATTAAACCTGAACGAAGTTACGAGGAGGCTGTTGGTGGTGCTGAACTGGTTTTGATTGCGGCTGATTTTGCACTGGAGTATCCTCAGCCTTTATTGCCAGGTATGAATTGATCTCCGTTACACCAGTTAAAAACACTTTAGCGTACAGACTCTCTCCTTTGCAGGGGCTCCAGCTGGGTATTTCAACAAAAAAAATACTTTGAATTTAAAAAAAAAATAGTAAGCGTGCGGCCGGGCGAAGGGAAGGATCGTCCCCCTCGCTTCTCCCCATAGTCGGCGTTTTACCTTATTCGCGTCGGTATAACGTGTTTTAACTACCATGATAAGAACGTCGGTGCTTTATAATAAACCCAAACAATTCCTAAACATTATATATTTTTTTAACAATTGGCTCATGCTAAATTAGGCTACAAAAATTGGAGAGCACAAGAGAAGGGTAAGAAAAGGTTGAGTTTGATCGTCCGGGTGAACGTAGTCCTGAATAGGACTGTTGCTGTTGACAGTGACTGACGTTTCGACAACCTGTGCGGTAGTCATCTTCAGAGTCAAAGTGAGTTGTATCACGTCAGTTGATGGTATTATACTCTGGTTATTGATCTGATTGGTCAATTATGTCGTGATGTTATTGGTCGTCTGTCAGTTAAGCCGTGATGTTATTGGCTATGAAGACTCTTAATCAGTGATTGGTGCGTTTCGATCCGTCTATTGTCGCAGTTAAACAGTCGTCTATTGTTAGTCAAATTGTTAGTTCTCCAGTTGTTCTCTCTGACGTGATACAACTCACTTTGACTCTGAAGATGACTACCGCACAGGTTGTCGAAACGTCAGTCAGTGTCAACAACAACAGTCCTATTCAGGACTACGTTCACCCGGACGATCAAACTCAACCTTTTGAAATGACTCCTGGGTTCAAACCTTTCACAGAAGGGTAAGAATTGCTCAAGATTCTGTTGATAGCAACTCTAGTCACTCTAGCCTCTTGGGCGCTCTTCCAAAGTGCTGTAAAACCTGACACCCGCCTAGCTGCAAGCACAACTGTTTTATAAAGTTGACCATGCTGTGGTACATGTAACGTAAAAGGCGAAAAACAAACCGATAGAAGCATAAGACATTGTTATCAAATACATTGCATCGGATTTTCTTCAACAGGTAACCGTATGGTAGGACCATTGAATGTCAGGGATACCGTTCAACCTCTACCACGTGATCTGGAAGCATTTATAAGCAATTCAGAAGGGCATGGTTTTATCATTGTTTCCTTTGGATCAAATGTGGCTTCCATTCTTCCTCGAGAGATTGTAGACATGCTAGCAACAGCTTTTGGAAAGCTAAAACAGCTTGTGGTGTGGAGGCTTAAAGGTATCGTATTACGTCACCAACACCTTCATAGCTAAACATTTCAGTTAAAGGGCAGCTGAATAATAATAAACGTGCCCTCCGTGTGCAATTTATTTTTTTAAAAGGTCAAATTTATTCGCTTATAATAACAAATTTGTTCTAATTATAAAAACGAAAACAAATAGACAAACTGACCATTTGCCATCCTTTTTTCCTATTTGCCTTCAGGTATGTAAGCCGTTATCTGATGAAGTGTTTCCAGTTTAATGTCATAGGTGACGAATTACTCCTTAATTTTGGCGCGAAATTTTAGCGTTAATTTGTAATTTCACATGTGAAATTACAAAATTGCCATGGCAACCCTCCGTACGTCTCAGTGTCGGCAAGATGGCGACGCAGTTTTCAAATGCCGTGAATGAAGATGTCAGGGCACAAAAAGACGCTTTAGAAAACCTGAACACACAAGAGAACATCGAGAAGGATTCTAAGAGGTATTTTGCCGAAAAAGTCTGAAAACGTCTGAACTTTGTAAGCCAAATTTAAGGTCTAAACGTCTGAGAGAGTGGAGTTCTCGATCGATACGATCCAGGATAAACATGTCAAAAATCCAAGATTGCTAACGTAATTCGTCACCCATGATATTAATAGGTAATCAAATGGTTTACTCGTGAAATTAGGGAATAATTTCACGCGCGTTTTGTGGAGGGAAATTAGGGAATAATAATAATAACGCACGTTTTGTCCAAATCCTTATAATTTCCCGAGCCTTTTGATTACACATACAAATCAATATGCCAAGCAGACCTTAACTTATGCCAAAGAAAGTTGTACCTAGGCTAAGTGATGAGTTAAGAATAGTTTTAGCAGTCATAGAAGCCATACCCAAGATAGTAGACTATTTTTGACAGTTTTAAAAAGTGGTCTTTGAAACAATATTTCCGAAACGAAAGACTGAATAGGCGAGACCGACTGGGGAAGACTGCACAAGAATCATTTGCCAGTTTATGGCCCTTGGCATTCACGGCGAGGCTGAGAATACAGACTCCATGACGTCCTTAATGACTCCCCTAACTCTCCCTCACCCTGCTGAATGAATGTAATGATATTTCTCAAGATTATTGACCAAAGTCCTTTATTACAGGCTACATCCCTGCCTTTCTTGCTAAAAACATCAAAGTTATGGAATGGTTACCTCAGAATGATCTATTGGCTCACAAAGACATCAAGGCGTTTGTCTCTCACGTGGGTCATAATAGTCTGTATGAATCTGCATATCATGGAGTTCCTTTGGTCTGTTTCCCTCTTTTTGCAGAGCAGCACGCTAATGCCAAGAAAGCGGAACATGTTGGTCTTGGCTTAGCAGTGTACCATGACCGTACTAATGCTCAGCAATTGTCTAAAACAATTGAGCTGGTTATCAATGAACCAAGGTAATAGTAAAAATACATACGGGTGGTCTTTTTATTATTATTATTCACTAAGCCCGCGTAAGGTAACTCCTTTGGATTTTTGAGTCAGTGGTCGATTACCGTTTCACTTAATTGATAACGAAATACAGATAGTATGCAGTGTAATGTATTCTGCTAACAATAACTAGTTGTATAGCTATGCCCTTCAATCCATTGTCAGATATATTGCCCTCAGCCCATTCAGACTAAATTTTTCTACGATCTTTTGCAGGCCTTGTACGTAGTGTCGAATTGAGCCTTGTAGTGCATGTCGAGTTGAACCGCCTCGACGTTATTGTCGCTATGGTCTCCCAAAAATTATGCTTTATTTACGGATCTTCTCGGCGAAATCTTTGCGGCAACTTTAAACTTATTTAATTTTAAATTTGTTTGCTATTCTCAATTTAGTAATTTGATGCTGTATGTTGAGAATGGCTCTGAGATTAATGACTACTACACAGGTTGTCGAAACGTCAGTCATTGTCAGAAACAGTCCCGCCTAGAACTAGGCTCGCTCGAAAGATACCGTATTTATTCGATTAAACGCCGCAGCGTTTATTAAATTTTTAGCGTTTCCAATGCGGCGTGTTTTCAAGGGCGGTGTTTATTTCGAAATCACTTTTTTAAAATCACTGACAATAAATCTTTTGTAAATATTATGTAATTTAAATGTTCAAATGTCTCCCTCATTTTGCTTAGATAGAATCGTAAATGTCTGGATGCTGTAAATTACCAAGTTGTACCGAAGTTTTTCTTATTATCCTCGGGTAAGTAAAACGCCACATTCTTCTGATTAGATGCGGCGTTTAATAGAATAAATACGATACATATATTCCACAAAATTATGATAAATTCTAATGAGACCGAAACCAACAGTGGAATTGCACGAAATTTAGGTCTCCTTCTTATGAACAGTTAGCGCACTATGATATTTGCCGGGGCATTATGGTTCATTTACTGTACATGTCTCTCCCCCCTTGTCAGGTTAATACCCATATCCCCAACAAAAAACGATAAAATTTCCAAATAAAATTTCCGGCTACTCAATAAGCAGCTTAAGATTAAAACATTATTGTCCGTGAGTGGGGTTGCCCATAAGAATAATACATATCCCTTAAGTCGTTTTGTTCAAATTGAAAGGTTCATGTCATTTCTGCACTATGGTATGAATCTTTCAATATTGTTTTACTTAGGTAATGACAAGAGCCACAAAGGGACAGGGACGGAAACGCCCAGACTAGCCCTTATAATAATTTCACCAAAGTTATTTTTATACCAATTAAACGCTTGAAAAGATCGGAAATTTGTTTCCTAAGAGGTCCGCAAACTTTTATTCAGCGCTGTTAAAGAGGAGGGGAGAAGATAACGGCGTCCCGCGTGGAGGTGCGTTTCATCGACGAAAGCGATTTTGTAAACAAAGGAAATGGTTTTATCTTGGAAGATTGTCCCGATTGGGAGCTAGATTCCATGATTTCTTTGGAGTTGAGTGATTTGCTAGATGATATATCAGTTTTTTAGGAGGAATTCAAGTCCGCGGACAGCGATCCTAATGGTGAAATCTCAATTTCGGTACAGGAACCTCGGCAGCAAATAAAGTCAGAAGAAAAAAACCACAGCAAAAAGCAAACAGAGGAGTGGGAATAATCTTCGCACAAAACAATCAAAGCAGCCAAACGTCCAACTCGATTCCAGTGAAGCGACATCGACGCGGGATTGGAACAAAAACGCTAAAAAGCAAGCAAATCACAGCAGAAATCAAAACACGAAAGCAGCAAAGATGCTAACAAAAAAAGAACTAGAAGGTAAACGTCGTCCCATGTGCCAGACCTTCGTATCAGAACAGCTCTAACAATAAGTCATGAAAATTTGGAAACCGGTCGAAATCTAATGGCTAATCGAAGAAATACTCGACGCTCAGAACTTCTCAGAATTTCTGGAACTTGTAGCTGCAGTTGCAAAGGACGTAAACAAAAGCCGTCAAGCTCGTTTGGCATTCGAGGTCGTGGGCCCAGCGTCGTTAAACATTGCAGGAAACCATCACCTTCACTGACAAAAGGGAATTGCTTTTAGTTATTCATATCCAGGAGGAACTTAAGAGAAAATTAAATGACCTAAGACCCTTATTTAGCCGCAACAAGGAGCGTTAAGTTTCAAGAGAGGTTACAAACAATGTTCTTGCATCAGAGGGCCAAACCTGCCGACCAGAAACACAGGAAACAAAACCCACAGAAAATCAATATGCGTGTCGTGAACAAGCGGCAAAATCACATTTGCTCGATCAAAACTAAGAACCCTCCAAAGCATAATGTACCCGCCAGAAGGAAAAAAATTTGGAACAAGCAGCAGCATTTTAAGCATTTTTGACTTTCGTCTGTCTCTTTTCATAAGCGGACTTCTCCTCACAGCTTTCTCGAGCTCGCCGAGGGAAACAGAATTTGAGTCCTCTTGGGACAAATCAACGCTTATCCTACGCTTGCGAGTAGCAACGCTAAGTTCAATTTCTTGAACTGAAATGCGCTCTTCAGGATAATCTAAAATATTCATGCGGAAATGTAGACGTCTGTAAATTTCACTCGAAAAGGTCATGTTCATTATTCCACAGTTGCCATTATAATATTCTGCATTGTTTGTCATCGTGCGTGGAGTTGATGACGTTTCAAACAATAGATTAAAGCGAGCGGACGTCCCAGGTATGAGACTTCCGTTTAAGTAAAACCTCTAAAAATAACTTTAGTGAAATTTGCATATCCCGGCCAACACCCTAAGATTTGCTCTCACTCGCATAACGGCTCTAAGTGACGATTAATACTTCGATACAATAGGGCAAGTTCTATGGACTAGCTTCTTACGTTAATAGTCGTAATTCATAACAAAACAGTTAAATAGAGAGTGATTTTTTTTGGTTTCAGATTCAAAAAAACTGCAATGCGTATATCAAGCCTGTTGAAAGACCGGCGACGCCCCCCTCTTCAAGAAACTTGTGACTGGATAGAATATGTCCTGAGACATGGTGGAGCCAAGCATCTTAGACCTCAAGTGTTTAACATTCCTTGGTACCAGTACTTCTTGCTTGACGTCTTTACTTTTCTTGTTGCTGTGGGTACTGTGATTGTAGTGACGATATGGCTGACATGCAGATCCCTGAGCCGTTTGTGCTGTAAGAGAAAAGGAACCAAAACAAGGAAGGAGTAAAACAAATCAAGGTGGTTTGGAATAACCGTGACGTTAACTTTTTTTTACGAGGGTAGTGTTAATTATAGCATACTTGAAAGGACTCAAAGTCAGTTATCTTTCTTTCTCGATAATCTCCCCAATAATTGATAATTATGATTTATTTAAAATATATTTTCGCCTTAAATATATCCCTCGGCTAATTCTTCATAACCAGCTACTGTTGACTAAATTTGTTTGTTTGCTATAGCCCACTTAGGAAATGAGTGATAGCCTGGGACCAAACTAAGCGCGCGCGCGTTTATTGGATCGTTTGGGGGGACGCAAAACAAACATGGCGGAAAGCAAAGTGAAATGTAGCGGGGTTAAAACAGCTCAAAACAGCCAAAGAGAAGGTGGCCATGAAAGAAAAACACATGAAAATGTGAAGCTAAAGGAAGAGGATGTGCCTGGGGCTATTTTACCGCGAGAGAAACCTGAAGAATGCACGTTGAAACAGCTCATGAACCGCACCTAGGTATTAGGGACTGTGCAATAATTATCAGGAGGAGGGGGCTGAAAAACTAGAGAGGGGGCATTACATAAAATTGCTGCCAAGATAAGGGGGGCTCAAAGTAAAATCACTCATTTGACGGAGAGGGGACCTTAAGTTTTATTCGAAATGTAAATAAAATTAAACGCAGTAAAAGATTCTCAATACAGGCATCATGATAGACTGTAACAAATATCAATACGAACAGCTGTTAAAAGAATATTGAAAATATTCCATCAAAATGAAGAGCAAATTCACAACTGATCAATTTTAACCCGTCTTCTAATTAATTGAGCTGATCCTATGTAAAGCAAAAATCATGAACTTGTTTTTCAGCTTCCCCCATAAAACAATGGGAATCAAACAGATGTCGTAGACAAGCTTTGTCGGTTTTTGATGTGAATAAAAGTAATGTTTCTTCATCGACTGAATCGATTTGCTGAATTCCAGGCTCTCCTCCCAAGGATCTAAATATAATGCAAGCTCTTTTTCGTCTGCTATTTCAAGCATTCAATCTCCTGTTCTTTGATTTTTTTCTCTGCTCCTTTCTCTTTCGGGCTTCAGAAGTTTTAGATTTTGAGCCAATGTTGTAAGCACCCCGGTACTTAGCAAATGCTTTGTCTAAATCTTCAATCAAGCGATCAACATCCTTCTCGATACTAGATGTTACATAATAACCTTGTCATTATTGAAGCTGTGATGGCAGCTCAGTCCAGTTTTGAGTTTACCAGTGGGGTGGGAGGGGCGGGGGTGCGACGTTATTTTTAACATAACAGAGGGGGGTTAGAACTAATTTTTTTTTGTTTTGGAGGGGGTACTGTCTACGTTTTTGCTAGATAACTCTAGTTTTTCAGCCCCATCCCCCTCCTGATAATTATTGCACAGTCCCTTAAACAGAGTGGAAACGGTTGTTTCTGAAACATTGAATCTAATTAACCTAAGCTAACCTAAGTCTCATCAAAGTCAAAATAAACTCTTCAAATATAGTCATTGATCTGGGTCTTCCAAGATTTTGCTCAGGACAGGAGTTTTTCTTCGCATACGAGCCATAATTTAAGTTCTGGGCCTTGTCATGTAACATATCGTTAAGAAACATAAGTGCATTCCAGTGAAGAAGATCGGTATAAAATTCCATATCTTCATCCTTTTCCTTAAATTTTGAAATGTCAAACGTCGGATTTTTCAGTGCATGCTTAAGTCTCTTTGAATCTCTAGTCAACTCGTCTTTTTCTTTAGCTAATTTGTCTTTTACCTCGCCTGTCGATTTTAATTCAAATTCCAATCGATTGAGAAATTCTCCGGTTATTTCAGTTTGCGTCTCAGTATCACAAAAGGAAAGAGTCGGTGAAACATTGTTGCTTTGAGTGTCCACGTCAATCTGCTCAACTGACACTTCATTCACTGAGTCAGCCTCAACGTCCATTTCGGTACAAGAAATGTCAGTTGTTCTTTTCCTGGCTCTTGAATTCGAAGTTGCCTCTGACCTCTATAGAATTCGTTGTTCACTTTTTTTTTACTCCAAGGAAAGATAGATGGTAGATGAGTTCTACTGCGCTTTTCACCCCCATCCCAATGGAGAGAGCAAATCCGTGCGCTATCAGAGTTCAGATTCAAATTATCGTTCCGAAGCAAACGTACATATTCTCGCCGGATACGGTTTGCCTTGGGTATTCGATAAAATGCCAGACCATGGGAGTTCTTGAAATTATTTGGTCACAAAGGCACACAGCAAGTTGCACGTCCCGGCATTATTCCAGGTGGCTGCTCGGGGTTTTCTGTCCCCCCCAAACGATTCCATAAACGCGCGCGCGCTTAGTTTAGTCCCAGGCTATCACTCATTTCCGAAGTGGGCTTAGCCTATTATTTTACGATTCACATCTGTCGTAAACTGGTAAACTGAAACGTGCCGCAAAATGCGGCGTGGTGGCTGAGCTGTTTTGGCAAGAAAATGGTGGAAGAGCTTACCCTTTCCCGGAAGACGAAATAGCCATATTACCGCCACAAAAACATAAGAGAAGCACAAGAAAATACCACCCGAAGGATGACAACTGCCTTTTAAAGAATATCTGCGGAAAAGAAAAACCCTTTTCAAGAACTCTTTTCAAGAATTTCACGTAGAGGTATTGGGATGCTCTGAGCTCAGGAACATATTAATTTAAAAAATGAGGTGATTAATGAATGCGGCTTTCGCAGCCAAGTGTATTTTGGCGTTGATAATTCTTGTTTTACCAACTGTTTACTCCGAATTCACGTTTATAGCATTCTTTCATGTTGAAAGTCTCTTCACCAATACCCCTTTAAATGATTGTATTAACCTGGAGGCTAAATAAACTAAGAACAACGTAAAATGTACTCTAAAAGCTGAGTTAGATCATCAAAGGTTGAGATTTACCTGAAACATTCCTTTTTTTAATTTTACAGTTATATTGTGACCCGCCGGATTCAAGAAAATAAGTATATAATACAGCACTTTCCGGCAAAAACTTAAAACTTTCACTTTCAACACGAATGCTGATGGAAGACTTTTGAAATTGCTTGAGTCACTGAACACTGACTTCACTAAAGAGGGCCTCTCGAAGTAACAAGTTGTAGAAGCAAGCAAATGTATGGACAATTGTCGTTTCTCGCCTTAATTTACTAAGTCTTGTTGTCTTGAGTAGGATGTATTGTACAATACATCCTACTCAAGATGGCACTTAATTATATCTTTTTTCCCAGACAGAAAAGATGGCGGAAAACTTCAGTCAACGCTCTCCTTGCAAACCACTCTAGGCGCAATGACTAGCTCTGAAGTTTTAACGAACAGCAGCGTCAGAAACCCGTGTGAACTGTGACTAAAACTCTATAATGAAAAGCTCCCGTAAGCTTCGGTGTCCACTTTTTTGAAGTACTAGCTGGTCGTTTCCCTTGTTTTGAGTTCTCGTAATTGACCCCGCGATCATTACATGAATAAAAGGACTTACTCCTTGGTAAAATTAAGGGTTATACGCAACACAAGTGCTAACGGTTCGTTGAGGTCGTGTGTGAAAAGTAATTAACTAGATATAGCCAAACGTTGAGGACGACGGGCGACTTTCAGGCTTCTTATCGAAGATCAAAACGCTCTTGCTCCACACTGGTGCTTTCTGTAAGTTTAACGTTAAAATGCGGGTCAGCAGATTACACGTGATAGAAGGTACAAACGCTTGTGACTTGATTGCGTTCTAAGCATTCCATTCGTTCTTAGTGGAAGTCCAAACAAATGCTGTTCACTGGCGTAAAATGTCTGATTGGTCGATATGCGACCATGTGACATAGCGTAAATTCAACATGGTGGCAAAGTCGTCCCTCGTGTGTTTTTAATATTCCAGCCCTGCTATGTGGCAGTCGTTTGAATAGTTTGGACTTTTTACTATTCTCCTTTTCCTCCTGCTCCTGTGATTTTAGTTTTTGCAATTTGCGCTTTGGTTTACCGTATGCGACCTTAAACTTTATACGGGCGATGTTTCTGAAAAGCAAAATCGCGCCTTTATTTAACGGTTTAATTCTGCAGAAAAGTAAGACACTAGATGCTAGAAGTAATTCTCTTCGTGTAGGCAATTTTATTACCGAAAAAGTGGGGAAATGCTACCCTAGCAATATAACATTCCCAGGGGGTGAACTTGGTCATGAATGCGTATCATTGAAGGCTTCGAAGTATTGCATTTCATTTGGCTTAGTACTTGATAATCTGAGCAGTCCATGGTTTTCTTTTCTTTTCTTTCCTTTTTATTTTTTAAAACTTAGCATATGCTTGATCCGAATTACAGTATACGTAGCAACAATCTTAGTAGTAAACTAATATTTGGAGGGCAAAAAATAATCAAAACTGATAACATCCTATAAGAAGAAGCAGAGAACATATTAGTTGGAAAATTTATGGCTTTGCTTTGGTTGCTGAAGTAACAAGTGTACATGCTTAACCGCTACCAAAGGAGTAAAAGGCCCAGATCTTTCCATGAATACGATTTTAATTCACTTTGTTGTCACTCTGACGCAGGTACTTAAAAGTTATACTATATATCGTCTTTAAGTACACGTGTATCGCCAGAAAACTTTGGTAAGTGTAGCTGCCCTTAGTTTGATTCAAGATCAAGTTCATCTTCTCTGAAAAAAGTAAATATATGAAGTATACGTCAATATTTCATTGCCTTTTCTATTGATTTAACAGTAAACTACTTCACCAAGAGAGAATGATCTAAGAGATCGAATCCCCCATACATGACCCTCTTTCCATAAAAATTATTTTAAATCTATTCTTGGTTATGTGTGATACTGCGTAGTCATTTTAATAACGCCTCCTTATTGGTCGGTCAGAATGGCGTCAAGTAATTTTAAACTTGGCGGGTAATTCATTTTACTGCCGATTACGCACTGCACGTGATATGACGTGCGAACTTGGCATTACTTTCGCCGACGAATCAAAAGATTTCTGCGTGGAAAAATCTTTCCAGAGTACATGCCGACGAGGAAAACAGACCTGGCTTGCGAAAGTCGCCGGAGAAAACGGTGCGACTCGACGAAAACCGCTCATTATGGTCTTCGCTACACATAAGTATGTAAACAACCAACAACCTCGAGTAAGTCATACTACAGACCTTAAGTTAGGGTGGACGGTATCGTGGAGTACGACAACCGAAAATGAAATTTGCCAGATTTGGGGCTAATTTGCTTATATCTCAGCCGTCCAGCCTACGTCGACTGCACATCGCGACGGTGAGAAGGCTTTAGTGCGGCGGTGTGTCGAGAACGTGAGTTTTCTCTCCGTGTTTTTGTCTTCAAAATATCTTTATTTTAACAAAATACCGCTTTACCCTGTTTCTGTAATGTCTTTTTTACTTCAAATTGTAAGCCTTTTTCAATTACTTATTATAACACTATTTAATGATGGAATATAGCACACTGAATTTGTTCAAATGGTACAACTGTAGGATTAGAATTCCCAGAGATGAAAAAGCTAATTCATACAACAGGGTAAATTAGAGTTAATGTGATAACCATAAACCCGCCCTTACCAGTAATGGAACCAGCTCACTTCCTTTCAGGGGTCACTTCCTGCGTGCGACCCCTGTCACACTAATTGTTTCGCTCAGCCAATTAGATGCGAGCTATCACATGTACAGTTGATGTCTACATTTTCGCGCCTAGCTCAGCAAAATAGTACTTCATATTCTTCTCTGCGTGGAACAAAATGTTTGCTACTTATAGCCTGGTTTTTCCTTCATAAATTGGAGTTTTTGCTAAGCTGTAATTACGAGATCACCGTTTAGGAAGGGCTACCTTGATCTTCCAACCGCATACAAGCCTTACGCGTTTGAGTTTTTCTGGACAGACCTTCCACGAAGAGATGTTGCACCGCCGCTCTTGGTCTAACTCCGTCCTTGGAACATTGATCGACAATAGTTCAACCCTCCTCTCGAATGTCGCTGCTTTCTCCTCTTCTTGAACTTTCGATATCCTCTCGCATGTACCGTCACTTTAACCGTTTCGACTCTCTCGGCTGGCACTTCACAGTCAAGGTTCCTCCGCAGCAAATCATCTTAGCCCAGCGCGTCTTCCTTTGGGATCAGAGTTGCTCTCTCATGATTCAGGTGCGATATTTTTCTGGTTTATCGATAGTTAACTTAATATTCTTATTATATTATGCCTCGAACGACATCTGTTTTTGCAATATTGTGTGCATGTGACTGTACTGAGCGCTTTGAGACATGGAAAGTTATTTTTGAGTTAGCTTACTGTATTACGAAGAAGGACTTGGCGCCGCGGCCTCTGAAATTCACTTTATTCAAGTCCCGAGGATTCAAGTATGCATGTCCGTGCTTTTATTATGCTCTTACTATGGAGTAAGAAAGAATATGAACTGTTAAAATCAAATCTGTGACGATTGGGCCTTCGAGGTTTTCTCAAATAATGGATTGAATTTCAGTTTCAATTGTTTATTCACATCTAATATATTTGAGTTGAGAATGATACATGACAGAAAATCATCGGTTTCGGTTTCATGCTTCGCACGTGCAGACTGCTCCTTGCGAAAGGCGCGTTTTACAGTATTCGAAAATCAGAAATTTCCTTCGTTCTCCGGATCATAAACAGTAATTATAAGCTAAAATTTTCAGGATTATCTGTGAGAACAAAAAAAAAAAAAAAAGGTGAGCATTCCAATGATTGAATACACTTCGTGTATTTGTGGGGATGAAGTGCTCCATATAGGTCGCCCCTTTGCCCCATAGACTCACACGGTCAGCTATTGTGGCAGAATGGGCCCCCAGACAGCCTTGTTACATGGTAACGAGGACCTAACCTTTCTTGTTGTGGTTGTCCCCAGGGGGCCTGGGAATTAGGATCCCAGAGAGAGGATTAGGACCTCTCTGTAGCCTGGGGAATTGATGGACTCATGGAAAGGAGGGAGAGGATTACCACCTCTCAGGGCCTGGGGATCAGGATCCCCGAGAGAGGATGAGGACCTCTCTTTAGCCTGGTTGTTGTCTTGTTGCGTGATAATGTTCTCATTTGGTGAGTCCTCTTTGTCGGAGCTAACCTTTCTTGTTGTGGTTGTCCCCAAGGGGCCTGGGATTGTACTGTTTTCATTGTTTCAATAATTGGGTTGAAACCATAAATAATACAGTTACTTTTAGTAGCTTACAAACAACAACCATGAGCATGTATATTCCGATTTATCGATAAGGAATTGTTTAAAAATTTTTTCAATATATATTGGGTTCTCACATCTCAGTATCTGGCCCTGACTTGATAGATACACCAGTTGCATCCAGTTTGTGTAATTAGTCAATTAATTGTGCTTAATTTACAGACTGATCCTTTGTTTTCTTTGTTATTGCATATCTCCTCATCTGCTGTGGAGGAGGTCTTAGGCCCCTGACCAACTTGTTGCTGTTCCCGGTTAAGTCCTCAGCTGATACCTGGTCGATGGGACATTTGCCAAGTCTAACCTTACAGGCAATGTTCAAGTACCATGTGACCATTGTTTCAAGTGACATTTGACTTTGGAAATAGCCCTACAATTCCTGTTGTTTTCTATGGGGAATACCCCTTTGGGGTATTTGTGGGGATGAAGTGCTCCCTTACAGGTCACACTTTGCCCCATAGACTCTTGTTACTCCTTAAACCGAGGAATTAGACATCAAGAGAGGTCTTTCCACCTCTCCAGTACCCAAGGGGGATTATCACCTCCACTCACAACCTTGGGGGATTATCAACCCCTAGAGAGGATTGTCACCTAGCTTCTCACTATCCTGGGGGATTATCACCCCCAAGAGAGGATTATCACCTCTCAATATCCTGGGGGATTATCACTCCCTGAGAGGATTATCACCTCTCCCCTTGTAGATTTTGGACTGTTACACCAATATGTAGAGAAAAGTGACCTGCTGTCCATATTTGGAGTAGTTCATCCCTTACCCCTTTTCTCCATAATAATTCTGGTCTAGTTATTTGCGTTTATCTAAGGGGTTATGGGTTGAGAGCATTAATAACACATTTAATATTCTCGCATCATGTGAACATCGGATTCTACCCTTTTCTTTATTCACGATGTATTTAGTTCATTTTTTCTGCTTAAGTTATAGGCCACAATGAAATTACGTGTTCATTGGTTCATTTATTGGACAAAATAAACCCCTTGATAAAGCAGGATGAAGGAACTTGTTTATCGCGCGCAACCTGTCCAACGTATTAATTTGTTTTTATTATAAGAATGTGTAGTGCACTAAAGATCACGATATTCAGCTTGCTAAATAAATTCTTGTAACTGAGCCCTACCGCTTCAAGCCCAGAACTGTGTAAGCTCGATTACCAGCCGTGGTTAGCCTAAGAACTGTGGAGCGTGGGGAAATGTGGCAATACGTAGATCTCAAACGACGAACATTCGCTTTCAAGTAACAAAGCGCTTCACTAGATTTCATTGTACAAGAGAAAGAATTCCTCATCTGATATGACACCACCATATAAAAGTAGACCAAAGTCTCTCGGATCTCTTTCAGGGAACTCATTCTCTCGAACCTTCAATTAAGTTAAAAAAATCTTTGACCGTCACCTGTACCGAAAGTTTGTTTCTCTGGCCAAGTCAACGTCGTCCCTCCCCAAGCCGCCGCAGTCAGAGTCACCGCCTTCTATGTCGCCGTCCACCTAAGTTTAAGGACTTTAGTAACTGTTGTAAATGACAATGGTCTATCCCGGCGACGAACAGGCAAACCTGCGAGCTTTGATATCGTCGTTTGGATCCAAAAGTGGACACGTAAAGAGAAAATGGGTTCTATGTAGGTTCAAACATGCCATGTTTGGTCCCCAAACATTTGAATTTTGAGAGGGGGTTAGACAAATGTTTTCTTGAAGTTTCTGGCTTGAAGATACCGAGGGTCCTAAGAGGACTGAGATATCATGGCACTTATCGGTGGTGTATAGACGGAAGGAGGAGGAACTGCAGTGGTAAGCCCTCATCCACGCAGTGCAGTCCTGTAGCCAAGGGAATTCAGCTGTGCATCCATGATGCATCATGGGCTGGAAACAATGAGCATCTTTTGTGTATTGGAAGATAGTGACTTGGTACTCAGATAGGTTTATTCGTGTCTCCAAGACGGCTCTGTTAGTGGTTTTTCAAAGGGTATCCGCTTGAGAGAAACATCTCTCCAAATCCCCCAAAAAAGTTTACAATTTACAAGATACATTTGTTAAATGATTAAGCAAAAAAGGGTTACAAGGCCTGTTTGGAGGGAATTGGGATCGCAGAGCAATAAGGAAAGCCTGCTGATTCAGTGAAAAGCACTGGATAAATTCTGCAGTGGTCAAACTACGTTCCACAAGCTTGACGCTGAGGGTCTTGCGAGGGAAATGTGACGTGCCCATGGGGCCAATGCTGTACGCCTTTTAAGCGTCAGAATTTCACACCACCACACAGGCTATCTTAATTCTTACTTAAACAGATTTCAAATAATTATCATGGGGCACAGGAATTCACACTCTTAGCTCATTCTCTCTTGACTTCACTCAGCAACAACCTCTTTAAATAAATTTTGTAGTAAACCTATAAAAGCGAGAAAATACCGACAAAGTTGTTTCTACCGCCAATACAGCCTATACCCTCCTTGAGGTGGTTGGGATTGTTGTCGGGCTTTTGGAAACCGTCGCCCTTCGTGGTCTTGTGGCTCGGAATTCCCATACACAAGAGCTTGCTCGACATGGCCTTGGATACGTTTGGCCACATGCGGCCCCGACAGCAAACTGCTACGCGGTGCGGCTTTACTTTTTTTATTTTTTGTGGACTTCTCTTGCACTAGTCTACAATACAGACGCCCTTCTATGCTCCCAAGCGACTCTTTTTTCGATTTCTTCTTAAAAAGACGCACCCCAAACAGGCGTTTCCTCGTTTCCTGTTTATTGTTAACCGTCCTCCCCCATTGGGGAAAGGAAAAGGATCGTTCTTGGGACGTTGAAAGATTGTCTCTGCGCAGTGCGCGACGGTATATTCGCGTGCAGCGAGATCCAGTTTTTTTTTGCAATTTTGGTCGGCGGGGTCGCACAGCAGACCAATCTTGTTTGTTCCACCTCCTCCTTTGTTCTCTCCAAAAGCTCTTCCTGCTTCTAGTTTTCCAGTAGTTTTTGCAGCTCCTGTAGCTCTTTCTCCTTTGGGATGGATAGTACGGCAGTGGGGTTCCAAACAATTTTTGCTCCTTCGTTGCTCCAGAAGATTTGGGGGTCTTGCACAAAGATAGGCAGTCTGGTGCTTTTTCGTTGCAACCACTGCATCGTGCGGCTGTAGCCGTCCACCTCCTTTTGAAAACATTACGCTTGGCTGTCTAAGATTCTTTTCAGGCCACTTTTCTCCCAAACACAAACCGTTTGGTCTTCTTTTGTCCTTCAGCAACAACTCTTTTCCGGCCGGTTTGCGTATCCCGGCACTCCAGGACGAGGAGAAACTTCCCAGCCAGTTCTTCGTTTTTTTGTGTCCGTCGTCCAGAAGGGCTCTTTGGACAGCGATTCTGGTTGCAGCCCTTTCTTCCCAAAGCTCAGGGATTTCCTTCGTGGCGGCTTCCAGCCGCTCGATCTCTTTCTGCCGTATTTCTGTCTTTTTCTGCAATTTTTTCCATTCGTGTTCCCCAGTCCAGGCGCGTCTTTGCTTCCAGCATCTCTTTGAGACGCAACAAGCGCCCTCTTTGATGCTTGACTGCTCCAAAGCTTCCACCACCAGCTCTTCTGTCACAGTTTTGGAAAGATCCTCTGACACGTAGACGTACAGCGGGACCCCGGTCCGCGTGCATCCCCTTCTTTGAACGTCGGGATGCCGCAGCATCGGGTAAAGGTGCTTGTTGGTACTGTGTACATAGTGCGCTAAGTGGCGTCCAAACGTTTCCCGCACCTCTCCTGCCTCTAACTGCGAGACAACTTTGTTGTAGAATTCGGTCGACGTTGTGCGTCCGAGGCTCATTTGGACGGAGGTGTAAGCGTGGTCGCCAACGCTGGCCGTATTGTGCAGAATGCACCCGCCGCTATCGGAAAAAGCAAAGGCTCCTTGGCGGGAAAATCCATATGTGTCCACCAAATGCTGCGCCAACGCCGGCAGGTCCAAAACGACACAAAAGTCTTAAGTGTAGTATATCTGATAGAGGCCAAAACCGACCACCCCAGCAAGCGCCGCATGGCTGGCAGCCTTTTTTGCAGCTGTTCTATTTCCAACTCCCAAACATCCACCTTGGCAATGAAATAGCCCACAGCTTCCTCTTGGGGGTGGGGCTCCTTCCACTTACGGAGGGCCCGGTAGTTCGTTTCTTTTTCTATTTTCTCCACCGTCACCACCATGAGGCTGTTGAGGGACGTTTTATCTACGGTGTGGCCGATCGCGACGCTTTTGTACCCGCCCTCCTCACTTCAGACTTCTCGAGCCCTCCTCGCCGGGGTTGCACGAAACTCGACCGCGCACCGACGCAGTTTGGGCATTCCGGAGCGGCCCGTAGACGTAGAAATCGTCGAAAAACACCGGCAGCCGCTCTAAGAGTTCGAGCTTTGTTCGCACTTGATGTCCGGCCAAATAGTTTACGCTTGCAATGTCGGGGATGAAATTGCTTTCCCAGACGACGTTCTCTTGCAAGATGTGTTTTCCAAAGTAGCCCTCTTCGTTTCCATGGTGCATGTATACACAGTAGCTGAAAAGTATCTGTCTAATTGTTGGGCTACTTGGTAGCCTGAGATCCAACTAGGCAAAACAAATCTTGCAGGTGCGCCTCTCGGGTAACCGAAAATGTTGGTAGCCCTGACAAAATTTCCGCTCCCCTGAATAACGAGACAGATTTCATTTGCGATGCCACAAAAGGAACCAGAGTGATACGAAGAAGAGAAAGTGGAAAATCAGAGGTTTTGGTTTGTTCGATCACCGATCGCTTTGTGAAGGTATGTGATGTAGTATGCAGAGTGAGAGTCCTGTCTGCTGCCCCATTTCTCCCCCGTCTCGCGAAAAATCTGTTCGCTGTGGCCGAACCCGCAGCCATGCCGCGGTATCGTCGATTCAAATGCAGTGTAGTATATAAGGTGATAAAGTCCTGTGACAGCTGGCTAGGCCTTCATTTCAGTATTTTATACTTTAGCCACACAAAGATTTAAGGGCGTAAAATACTGAATGAAGGTTTAGCCAGCTGTCACAGGACTATCACCTTGTATACTACTAGCGCAAACCTCTGCGATGATTAGTGTGTACGCGCTCAGATTTAGCATTCAGAATATTTGTTTTAATCAGCGAAAATGGAACCGAAAAGGTCTTAGCTACCACTCTCCTGCAACAAGGTGTAAGCTAAATCAAATTTATCCTTCTTCTTTTTATTTTTCTGTTGTGTTGTACGACGTTGCGATAAACTTGAAGTACGCGTAAAATTTCAAAGTTGTCTAAGATGTTGACAGTGTGTGCAGACCGAGCCTTAGTCAAGTTGTAGAACTCAATCATGTCGATTTATAGCTCAAAAAAGGTTTAAACGTTTTACAAAACGGACGCTTCCGTACAACTCAGTACATGCTGATTTATATACCAAAACAAAGCCCAAGAATTTTTCTTCCATTGACATTTTATTTCTTGTTGTACCGATCCGCGAGTTGCACGAGACTTGCACTAAGCATATTAAAAGGTGAAAATGACCTACCTTTTTATCTTGACTTCAATTCCAACAATCGCAACGCCGATTTCAGCTAAATGGATCGAGGCACTGTGTTTTGCTGACAGTTCCAGCATGCATTATCCTCTGGACAACACACATCACAAAACATTTCAAACAGAATATTTTAATCTCTCACAGCGGCAACAAAACCTCATCACTACAGACCATTGTGAAAAAAAGCTGTCATTTCTTCTTTCATCTTGACAACATTTCGCGGGTATTTTGCCTCTAAGCCAATGACTTTACGGGAGATCGACCACTTAATTTTTTCACAGCACATGCGAAGACATTTTTCGCTAGTGAACCAGTGGTGGCTACATTCCTGCCAAGTATACGTAATAGCAATCTAGAGATTAGGATTACGGGCTCTGCGGTCGCAATCAAAAAGACTCCATTCAAAAATATTTAACCTGTATTTGTTGCTGAAAGCTCTCGTAAGGGTCTTCCTTTTAAAATTCGTTTAGCTCAGTATCGCTGCCAAGAGAGCTCATTCTCTATTTGCGGCCTCAAACATTTGCGTTGACTACAAAGAAATGAACAATATAAGTAAAAGTTGTCGGTTAACTACTAACAACGGGCTCCATTTGTAACACAGTTTTCTTTTTTTTTCGTCTAAGGAAAATACTCACTAATCACTTTATTACTATCTATTTATTTTGGTAATTCCTATCAACCGTTTCTTTCAAGATTTTGTATTCCTAGTCCGGGTTCCTTTTCCGGATTCCAGATTTCCATGTTTTAGGGTTGCCCTCAGTTCGTGCCAACGATCATGCATAGAAACAAAAAGATGGCGTTATTGGTGCTGATTTTGCTATCACTGACTGTCAGCTCCGTTTCATCGGCGCAGATTGCTGGCTTCATATCTCTTGGAGGATCGCAATATATGACCTTGAGACGTATCTTGGAAGAACTGGCTTCTCGGGGCCACCAGGTAGGACAGTCAAAAATAAACTCATTCTCGTGTCACACAAGCTATTTAATTTACGCTGGAGTGCTCCAGCAAATTAAGATGAACACTTTGAATCATCTTAAATTCGGTACTGAGAATACTAAACTGCGAAACAGAGCGAAAAGATTCAATGTATTTTGTGAATGCCAAATAACTATAAAGATACCATAAAAGTGAATACTTACTTCAGTGAGTTAAGTTTTCAGTTCACTACTTAACAGTTCGAACTCATTTTTTGCCTTCCTCGCTCAAGAGATTCGCATTTTTTGAAAGGCATCTCTTTAGCCCCTTTTAGTCGTTTATTATCATAAATTGGACTAGGTGCACTATAGTGCTTTGATTTAAGTGCCCAGTAAATCGATCGGCTTCGAAATTCAGTCCTGAAAAGTAAGGGTAGGTTTTTATTGCCAAAGGTACGTGCGTGAATTAAGTCACGCGCCATGCACATTTATATGCATTTTCCGTCGTGGGTAAGATGACACGGATTTAAAAAGATGTTATGTAACGTGTTTCGAAGTCTCGTGGTCATCGAGGTAGGCTAGCGAAGAAAAAGATCTCAAAAGCAGAAATTGTAAGTTTCGAATCTTTTCTCACTTCAAGTAAGAATGATGTTGTAATTGGTAATCTTATCTTTTGATTAATTAAACTTCAGTTGACTATGACGGACTCACGTATGCTACGATCCGAACTTATACTCTAGTACAAAATAAGCCCTTAAGGGTTGAAACCCTTGGGTTGTTCTTCAAACCAAAGCAGCGCGTTAAACCATAGGAGCGAATCACGCGTACAGTGTACAGTATGACGTTACCGGAAGTTTAGAGTACATTATTTTTTCGATCAGTTTAATAACTCTTGCAATTTTAAACGGCAGTTTTTCAATAAAGTGAAAATGGATACGGCATTTAGGGAACTTAATTTCAACTGTCTATCGGTTCAGTCGTTAACAAAGAGATAATCTAATTTTCAGATTTTAAATTTTAAACTGAATTTTCATGTAAATTATAAAATCTTAAATTTTAAATTTTAAACTCATTTTTTTTAGCAAAAATGTAGTAACATTGTTTTTTTGCTGGAACACATGATCTTTATTTAAACTGTAGTTAGATAAGAAAGTATTTTATTTTTCTAGTACACAAGGCCCCTCAAGCATCTTACTGCTTTATTACTGATAGTGTTTAAATAAAGGATATTCATTCATTAATCCATTCATAAAGGATAGCGTGCAATATGATACTATAGATTTAGCCAGGACTAAAAGCGAAGCTCTGGTTAATAATACGTGTAAACAAAAAAATTAAATCGTGTAATGCTAAACGGGGACGACAATGAAAATGGCTTCAAAACTAATAGATCTAATTAGCAAAAAACAAATTGCACGTGCAGCACACTTTTTCTTCTAATTAGAAAAAAACAAATTTGCCTCTTTTTTGGCTTTTCCTTGCCGTTGTTTTGCACGACTACAACGCTGTTTTGTACGACAAAAACGTCAAACTTCCTAGTTACAAGTTATTTTTATGGAGGGATTGTCGTATGTGCTTACCCAATATTTTGTTTCCTGTGTTCATGTTGGCTTTTATTTTTCACTGCCGCTCATTTTCACCTTGCTGGCCGCAAGCATTTCTCATTTTCTCACCGCCTCTTTGAATTTCCATGTTTTTCTTCCTACGAATTCGTCTCACTCGCTCTAGCTCTTTCTCTGTCATCCACGTTAGTGTAAACATAAAAAATAACTCCGAAAAAGACACGACTTTGTTGTTGTTTTTTCTTTCTAAAGTCCGGGCGGCCATGTGATATCCTTCCAAATAAAAACGAGAGTTCCATTTGGGTTGCCATACCTGATTATTTTACATGCCTGTATGCCTGTGGTGCGGACGGACGGTCGCTCGCTCGCTCGGTCGGTGTACGGTCACGTGATTACCAAATTTTCTAGGATGGTAGATTACCACATTTCCTTAGTTATGGGGCTCCGCCCACGCACGGCGGAAAAATTAAAAAGTGAACGTTGAAAGTATAGGAAAAGAAACCGTTGAAGTCGTTATCCAAAGGAAATTTGAAATGTAAATTAGTATAAATACATACAAATGGAAGAAATAAGGAATGTATTACATTTCATCTTTCCTATTACATGTAATTCTCAAGGGCCCAAGTCTTTTGCCTCTCTTGATGAGGTATTCTTCTCATTAGCTTTTCACACACTGTCTCTATTGGATTTAATTAGTTCTAGTGGAATACGTGTGATGTCATTAGCAGAGTGATCATTGGCAACAAAATGTTCTGAGACCGTGGTGGGTTTGGAGATATCAGATGGGTTGTCAACTGGTCTGCGGTGTTCGTTGAAACGGTCTTTAAGTCGTCGTTTAGTTTTTCCGATGTACTGTTGTAAGAAGCTGTTGCACTGTACCATGTAAATGACGTTTCTGGAGTTGCTGTTGTTGTGATGGGTGGTAAGTCTGGTTTCATCTGTAGAGTGAAATTTGTATGAAGTTTGTCCGCCAGATATGCAGTATTTGTAAGTAAAACAGTTTTTTCCACGTAGGTATGAGCCTCGGGGTTGGTTGTGATGGGTGAGATTTCGAATTTTAGCTCTGACGAGAAAATCACTGAGGTTACTAGTGCGTCTATAAGTTGCAATAGGTACAGCTTTAAAAGAAGTTATAACAACGGGGGATGAAATTAAGATGTGAATTTTTTTGCGAATAATGGACGAAAAGAAACGAAGAGCTGGGTTGTACATGATAACGAAGGGAACATGACCTGGTTTGTCCATTGTGGTAGTGCCATGAGGCGTAAGTGCTTCTATCTGTAAGTGTGATGTTGTTAATTCGTTGTATTTCCTGTTGAAGGAAATAGGCACGTTTGTAGAGACAGACGATAAGGTCATTGGTGCGGAGTGTAAGGGTCTCGTTGGTAGAACAAATGAAGCGGAGTCTAAGAGCTAGACTGAAAGGAATAGCACCTTTGGTGTGTATGGGGTGACATGGCAAATGTAGTAATTATTGGTGTTTGTCAGTAGGTTTGGTGTAAGGGTCAGTGACGATTTTGCCGTTGTGAAGTGAGACGTTGACATCGACAAAGAGTATGGATGTGAAGGAATAATCGAAAGTGACCGTTTTGGAGAGGTGGCCGTTATGGGGAGATAGGGCTGTAATATAACATGTGCTTTTGGGGAGGTTGGGTGAGAGGGGAGTGTACTACGGGATTATTAATTGTGCCCAGTTCATGCTTGCTGTAGCCTTCAATCATATGGTAATCCAATCATAAAAGAATATATATATAGAAAAAAATACACAGTAAACTTTGAATAATGTTTTGAATCAAAATGTTGACAAAACAAAACGAGCAAGGTTTGCAACATTCGCTATGAGTATTGAAACAATTTAAGCTCACTGCAGCATATAAATGGAACACAATCGAAATACATAAATATATCATTTGCTGCGAGTAGTCATAGAAGCGCCATACGGATCAAATTTCGTAACCATTCTTGACTTATTCGTCAGTCACTGAAAAGAACTGGCCGTTGTCAAGAGTTTATTTTGGCAGTTGGGGACGCGGTTCAGTGGCCGTTGCCGTTGTAGAGGGGTTTTATTAATTTCGCCACGGTGATGCAACACGGTGACAGGGGATGAAACAAGACTTACCTCCCTGCAACTCATATCAACCTGCTCATTACCCACCCAGCCCATGAAAAGTTGTACCACACCACCGTGGTCTACGCCCCCTACTCTTTACCAACAGAAGCGTGGGTTCTTTTACGTCAAACAAGAATCAGAACAGTGGAGGAGCTATACATGTGAGACGGGGCCTAAAGTTTATCGTCCTTATCCGAGAAGGTTTAGACAAAAGTCATTGTATGGACGGCCGACGGAGACAAAAAAGTGGCCGTTGTAGAGAACGTGTAATGCATTACTGCCTTGCATTCATGACTTGTGAATTTTTTCACTTAGATCAAGTACGATTACGACTTTTTTATGTCAAGCAAGCTGTGTTCTAAGATTTTTCTCCACTACCAATTTTCTCTTTAGAGATCATCGGTGTAGCTTGTGGGAGCAAAGTGCAGGGGTGTTTTTTCACTAAAAGACTCTCGAGAAAGCTTCACTCTTTTCCATTCTCCCCGCGGATTTCAATCCAAACAAAGATGGCAGTAGCTCCTGTAGAATAAAGCAGTCGCGCGAGACAGATTTCACCAGCTACGCAGGCTATGTGCCAGGTCTAGATCGGGTTGCAAGTTTGATTAAATTGATAATGTCAGCTAATGAAGACCAAGTTTGGTAATGTGTAGTTACTAGAATTCATATCAAGGCGACGAGCCCTTGTACGTGGTGTAAAATCCGTATACGACACCCATAAAGAAAGGCCTCCGAGCAAAGGTCAGACTAGACTTGATACAAGTCGACCTCTTTCCCCTTTCATTGTGAGGAAAAGAAATTGAATTGAGTATCTGTGTAAATGTTGTTAACAGACGCGACTTCACGTCTGTTAACATAATCAGGAGGCAGAATCTCACCACCACTGAGGTTTTTTTTTTAAATTTCTTCCTTAGGTATCGCTAATCGTTCCTTCCGCCCAAAAAATAAAACCAAGTGAGAAGGTTCCACACAAGATTTACCAAGTGCCCCTCAAACCTGACTACCTCGATGATGCAATAAGGCTTGATATAAACGGACCCTGGTTACAGGCACAGAAAAGGATGAGAGACGTCCTGAGTATTTTATGCGAAGGTGCTTTAAATAGCTCACAGGTGCTTAAAGAAGTGAAAGATTTTGACTTGCTTCTTTACGCCAGTCCCATGGGAATGTGTTCTCCGCTGGTTGGTGAACTCCTTGGCATTCCACGAGTGGAAATTTTGCTCTTTGCACCAAACACCCCGTTTAGTTTTAACCACATGATTCCCATGCCTGTCTCGTATGTACCGTTAAACATGCTGGGATTCAATGACAAAATGACGTTTATGGAGCGAGTGATCAATTTGGCTGTCTATTTTGGTAGTAAGCTTTTGTGGGATCTTGTAGTTGCTAGTATGATGAACGACCTCAAGGTTAAGTACAATATTAAACCTGAAAGAAGTTACCAGGAAGCTGCTGGTGGTGCTGAACTGGTTTTGATTGCAGCAGATTTTGCATTGGAGTATCCTCAACCTCTGTTACCAGGTATGACATAATTTCAATCATATAATCTTGAGTAACCACTGTCCCAGGTAAATTTGCGTACTAAATTAGAATGAAATTTTATAAATGGGCCAAGAATTAAGCTCCATTTTGACTGTTTGTCTGTGTTTGTCCATGTCTTAGTATAAATCTATCTTTTTAGTTTCCGTCTAGGAAACGTAACTTTAAACTTTATCGAGACTTTTGAAGGTCAAAAGCTCTTTTCCTGACCTTTATCCATTATACTCACACCAAATGTATTTCACTAAGAAGAGGAATAGGGAACGTGGAACGTTTACAGGCTCACAGATGGCCTTGCGTCTTGTCTGACAAAGGTATTTGAAATACAGTCGAGTCTCCTCCCCAAAACCACCACCCAAAAGGCGAAGATTTAGAGGTCGCTTACGGGAGGTGGCGGCGTATGAGATTCTCTCTCTCTATGTATTTTTTTTTTTTTGGGGGGGGGCTTTCGAGAAAAGGTTTGAACATATCTACTTTTGGAAAGAGAGCTCGTTGCATGAAATTCAAAAAAAAATGCATGAAATTATGATATGTGTAGTTCCATCGGCTGCCACTAAAAGTTTGTCACAGTTTCTGAGTCGTGCAGTACATACAGCGAACATAGAGATCAAACAATGTGTCAAGTGTTCGCATGCAAGAGGTTAAATCAATGGAACATTCTCAAACCATCACTTGAAAAAGTGATCGCTGTCGCTTAACAGGTGGTCGGCTGGGTGGAGGTTCCATCTGTAATGGTTTGAATGGCAAACTGTCGGTGTTTTGGGTTGTTGGTCGCCTATTGGAGGAGGTCACTTACGAAGGGTTATCGTCCATATTATTTTTACTTTAATTTTCAATTAGATGAACAGCTGGTAAGTGCTGTATATTGCCTAACATCGCTTTACCTTGTCGCCTCAATCAGAATTATGCCCTTTCTTTTTGTACTTTTTTTTTATGTTGGTGAACAAAAAAGTATGAAAGTAAGTTTGGTTGTTTCCAACCTCGTTTCCACTGTCCTCTCCTACCTGCCTGGGAACGAAGGTTGGGTATTGTTGTTGGTGTTGCGACAACTATTGTTAACTCGCTTTTGTTCTGTGGTCTGTTCAGTGTTCAGTATCTTTTTATTCTTTTTTATTACGTCATTTGGCGATTGCACCCGTTCGCAACACCAAGAAATTTACCAAGTTTTTAAGCAATCTGGGGGATCTTATCAGTGGGAGGGAGAAAAAACCTACGGTAGACCATTGATCACTAGGATTTATTGGTGTTCCGATCAGAATTTACCTCAATAGGGAACCGCTTGGTCGGACCTCTAAATGTCAGAGATACCATTAAACCTCTACCACCTGACCTGGACGAATTTGTAAGCAATTCAAGAGGACATGGTTTTATAATTGTTTCCTTTGGATCAAATGTGGCTTCTATTCTTCCTCGAGACCTTGTAGATATGCTTGCAACAGCGTTTGGAAAGCTAAAACAGCTTGTGGTGTGGAGACTTAAAGGTATTTTATTATTCACGGCCAGTTATCTTTCGTTCATTCTTTTTCAGTTACATATGCGCTTATCACCCATTCGCTTTGTAATTGTTCATGTCTAAATGGCACGTTGCCTAAGCCATCAAGCACACGCCATACGCTCAAAAAGAAAGTTTAACATATAAATGGTTGGTAGCTGTTAAACGGCCCCCGTGTGTTTTCAGTTTATTCTTTTAAAAGGTTGATTACCCCAATTCTTTAGGTTAAATAGTTCTCTTTCCCAATATTCCACGGACTGTGACACACTGAACGAAAAATGTATACTCCTTACTTTAAGGAAATCGTGAAGGGTTGAATCGATATGGTTAACAGGCCTACTTATTTCAATTCTTACTGATAAAGTTGCAGTTAAGGGGTTTATAGGTGTGTTTGGACTAACGCCAGAAACAAGAACAAATACCTATTTGTAACAAGGTTGTCGTTGAAACATTAGGGAGAAAGGTAATCCAAGACTTTCTTAGATTCTGGATTCCATGCTGTGGATTCTGGCTCGGGTATTCCAGGGAAAACATAATGTGTAAAAAAACTGTGGCTGCCTATTAGCAGCTGGCATCTATTGTGAATCTGAGAATACGGAATCCATGTTTTTTTATTTCTCTTGAATTTAAACGTAAGATTCCCTCTTAAGGTAATGACATTTCCTACAACAGATTGTTGACCAAAGTCCTTTTTTGCAGGCTATATCCCCGCCTTCCTTGCAAAAAACATTAAAGTTATGGATTGGTTACCTCAGAATGATTTATTAGCTCACAAAGACATAAAGGCTTTTATTTCTCACGTGGGTCACAACAGTCTGTATGAATCCGCATATCATGGCGTTCCCTTGGTCTGTTTCCCTCTCTATGCAGAGCAGCATGCTAATGCCAAGAAAGTGGAACATTTTGGTCTTGGTTTAGCAGTGTACCATGACCGTACTAATGCTCAGGAACTGTATAAAACGATTGAGCTGGTTATCAGTGAACCAAGGTAATAACAAAAAATAGACACTTTGAATTCTGCAATGTTGATCGCACTACGAGAAAAGTTATTTTTGCAAGACATCAACACGACACCGATAGAACCCAAAACAGAGCGGGCTTACCTTGTAGCTGTCAACAGCTGTTTTGTAATTGCTGTGGTTCGTCAGGACGGCGCAAAAACAGACAGAACAAAGACGCTCTGCTGAGAAAATACATACAGTTGTCCTTGATTTTATTCATTAAGAGTATAAGTTAGCTCCAGGGGAACACTTCCTTGTATGGCCCTATACCGTTTATCTGAAATTGAGAAGCGCATCATTATGACGTTTATCAGGAGCCCATCAAATGGAGCCTCCATCTCCCATACAAGCCCTTGGAGTCAACCCTTTCCCGAGTAGATTTATAATTAGAACGGTTCCCAGAGGAGACTTCGCGCGCCGACGGTGGGAAGAGCCAATCACCACGAAGTAATGACACTGCTATTGTACTTCATCAAACAGCAGGAAACAGCTTGTATCTCATTAAAAGGCCATGAAGCTGGTCTGTTACATGCGTAATGATTAACTACCACCTGCAGTCTGTAGTTCTGACAGGATTCGTTTTCTTTAGCCAATTTTTTTGAGCCCTAAGGTTCTTATTTCGGCTAAATGACTCAATATTAATAAAATTTCTGGTTTTTCAAGTTTTTTTTTCCGAAATGCGTTTATCTGAATAAATACTTGTAGTCCTTGTGGTTTTTTTGCCCGTCAGCTAGTGTGATGATTCCCTGCTATGTTTTGTAACGCCGGTCCCAGCCATTGTTTTCTCGCAAAAAAGTGATCTACAGATGCCAATTCGAAGGAAAGAATTGGCCTTAACTTGTACATTAATTGCTGAGAATTGTCTTGTTAGTCAGTCATAATTCCAGTTTGGCGCAGATACAATCCATTTTGTTTTTCTTGAGATAAGAGGGTCTTTGGACTGGAGCGCGATGTCACAAATTCCTCCGTTAGCAAATTACTTTTGAGTTAGCTTCACGGTCGAGCAACTGTTGTCTTCTGTTCAACTTTTCAAGTGCCAGTTTTATCAGGCAATTCTCACGCTAATACAAGTCAGTTGTCAATGAAGACTGCAATTTCTCAAATTTCGGAACTAAAGCATTCCTCCTTATTACTTAGGTCATCGCTTTTGCACGCGGTGCTTAGCTGGAGAAATCCACTCCACGGTGATGACAAAAATCAAATGATCCTGGCACTTTTTCGGCGCTGATCATCGAAAAGTTCCAAATCGTCCCCAGAACGCTTAATCGTCGACTCCTTTCAAGGTGCATTTTTAAATGTGGGATGTATGAGGGCAAAAAAAAAAAAAAAACTCGCAAAGATAACCTTTCCGTGATCCTCAGTTCGCTGCCTTTGTCCCATCGCTTCATGCTCAGTCAGCGGGTAATTCATTAACTTTTATTTCATGATATCCAGATCCCAGCGGCTGTAAAATTGTAAAAATGAACGTATAGTAAAAAAGGAAAACGGTCGAAGGACGGGCTTCTGAGTTCGACTTCATCCAACTTCATTTTTTTCACGGTGACATACGAGACTCCCGGAAATATGACACTTTTCGCGGGAAACAAGCCGTTGTATTTATAAATCTACTCGGGAAAGGGTTGACTCAAGAAATTAATGGAGATGGAGGCTCCATTTGATGGGCTCCTGCGTTTATGTAATTTATAAAACTCTTTCTGCGCCATGCGCTAATTTGGCGTAATTGCCAACGAGCCATCCGACCGAAGACGCTCGGATGGCGAGGCGGCAGCAGAATAGAGCAGCGCAAGACTGGGCAATAGGCAGAAAAATTCTCGATTGAGCTGAAAAAAGTGTAACCTAATGTAATGTAGATTCCCCTGAGACCAAGTGGTCAGTTGTGAACCAATCAAAAGGCAGTACCTGGCGCACGGGCTCAAGTTGAATAACAAACAAAATTTCACACACTTCCCGCCGTCGCGACTTCCTGTGTTTATTTACCTAAATTTTTTCGTTAAACCCGGCCACCGCAGTCAAGAGACATGAGCACTTGATATATTCTATTAATTTTAGGGGCCATAATGTTAAATTTTAACGAAGAGAAGTTTGTAAAACAGCAAAAGTGTTCTATGTGCAGCAAGCAATATTCTCACCACTAAAAAAGATCAGATTACACGAGGAGATAAGGAAAGCTTGACACGAAGAATGCAGTCGCTTCTGTTGGAAAATCTGGTGTTGGGGAAAAAATCTAACCAGCAAACAAAAACGAATTACAAGCCTAAAGCGAACGACAAAGGAAAAGAAAACAACGCCATTTTTTTCGAAACGTGGCCGAGTTCAGTATAAAAATAATGAACTAAAACTAAATACCGACGTGCCGTACATCGCATGTCCTTGGAAACATTTCAGACGACCCAGCGAATCATTTTAAGTTTCAATCCGATAATAAAAAGACTCGGGAAATTTGAAAGGAGGTTTAAACGATTAAACTGTGCAAATATTTATCAACAATGTGAAACCGAACCGATAGTAGATTTGTAGCTGGACTTAATAATATTGCCGAACGCTCCTCTGATAAGGCACTTCACAATTTTACCTAGTTTTGTAAAGCCACCATACTGAAAAAATTTCAAGAAAATAATCCTTGCAACAGGAAGGGACCAAGAAACGGTTTATGGTTTCCTATTCAAAATAAGCGATTTGCTCAATGGCTTATATCCAGCCAATTAAAAAATGAAATTAAGACCGTTCAAACAAAGCGCAATGCTTATATCCAGCCAGTTGAAAGACCGTCGAAGCCCCCCTCTTCAAGAAGCTTGTGATTGGATAGAGTATGTACTAAGGCATGGTGGAGCCAAGCACCTTAGACCTCAAGTGTTTAACATCCCTTGGTACCAATACTATTTACTTGACGTCATTGCTTTTCTTGTTGCTGTAGTTACTGTGATTGTGGTGATGATGTGGTTGACTTGCAAATGCCTGTGTCGTTTGCACTATAGGAGCGACGATGGCAAAAAAAAGAAGGAGTGAAACAAATAAAGTGATGTCGACTTTGGGACTTAAAAATGGCCCTTCTTTACGAGAATAGCGTTCATTTTAGCATGGTTTGAGGAGCCCTGTCAATGTTTCAGTACAATTACGTTCTCTTTTCTTGTTGATAACCAGCTGTCGTTAACCAAGGGTGCCTTTCTTTACTAAACTCCTAATCGGGATTTTTTAACCAAAAACGGATCGTATCCAAAACTGGATACTTTGGATACACGTTCGGAAGGGTTTTTATGCCACGGATCCGAAGAGTGAATACAGCCAGCGGTAACTCAAAATAATTTTAATACATACATCAGCTGTTTGACTAAGCCGCTCATTTTTACGGTCATTTTTGAACCCAAGGTATGGGCTAAACGGCCGATTTAATAGCCGTTCTATCGGATTGGTAAAATTCCATACAAACAGGACCTGCATTGCTCTAGTTCACAAGGGACAAAACTGCTACAGATCTTCGCCAGCGCCTCTTGCACGACTTTACTTTTCCAGTACATATCTTATTGCAAGACTCTTCTTCATTTGGCCCGTCTAAAGCAGCATCCTTGGGCTAATTGTCCAGAATACAATGAAAGATCAGCAAACTTGCAACATTGTAAGCAGCCGTGTTAAATTCTTTCCCAGGGTGCCGTCGATACTATTCATTAAGAGTGAAAAATAGCCCCTTTTTTGGACATCTTTTCTTTTCTTCACGAAAAATACTTGTGATCGGGATTTTTGATCTGATCTTAGAGTGCGTTTTTTGGGAAAATCCAAATCCGGATTTCCGAGTCCAAAAACAGAACAAAAAAGCTCTGTCTACGAAAGTTAAGCACATAAGCTTAATTTCTTCGCCGAAGGGTCGAGTTGAAAGGTTTTCCACTTCAATTTCATTAAAATAACAGTTATCGAGATCAAGGCAAGGTGAGGTGACGTCGGTCAGGCCTTGGCCCTCGAGGTTACATGAAACAAATTTTATAAGTTTACTGTAAATGTCGTTGTTTTGATTTTCTTTGCACAAAGTTCCTGCTTCAAGCCTGACACCTTATGAACGACAAACAAATTAATCTTGTTTGAGGAAATTTTAGTGTCTGACTGTTTGTTCTATTCAGAACAAGAAGATCTGATTTAACATAAAAAGACTTATAATGAATATTGAAACTATTCGTTATATCGGGCTCAAATTCTCAGACATAACTGAAATTGTTAAGCTCTTTTACTTGTCAGAGATTTTGTTTTCATTAGCTTCATCACATAATAATAAGCATATGTTAATGAGGCAAAAAAAATGTAAACAAAGATTCGCCTATATAAGGCATCGATAAGCATTCCTGTTCATTTCGAGAGACAATTTCCACGTATTAAAATTCATACTTGGCTACGAGGCTTAAGGAAATAAAACAAAAGAAATATATTATTCATCGCCGGGCGTCAAGATAATTTCTTTAATTAAAATTATTCCCCCAAGCCTCAGAGCCAAGTATGAATTTTAATCGAAATTTGTCTATTACATAAACATAGAAATAACGAATAAAACCTTTCAAAAGTTCTTTATCCCAAAATGTTTGCCGTGCTGGTTAGAAATAAAACTGCAAATAAATAGACTCAAATGCACGGGTAAATTCCTCAATAAAGACTGATCGGTAATATAGCAAAGACGGCACAAATGTTACCTAGTGTTTATTTGTGTCTTTCTATGAAATTTTAGCACGATGTGACGGATAAAACATGACATGACCTAACAATGTAGTAACACCGACAAAGGTAGGACAGAATTGCTAGCTGAACGATAAAAAACGCTTCCTAAATAACTCCAAATTTCATTTCCTTGCCAAGCTCAAATTACTCTGCGAGCAGATAACTGAAGACAGATTTATCTCTAGGTTGCGCGCGCAATGCATGATTTCCAGGAACAATGTCAAACAGTGCGACTATGTACTTGTCTTTTTGTGTATAATAAAACAATTATTAGATTCGGTTTTTTGTGATATCAGGAATGACCAAGGTCTAAGTAAGTGTTATCAGCCCAAGCCTTCGGCTACGTTAATAATTGACTTATCTCGACCTTGATTATTCCGGATATCACCTGAACCTCATCCAATAATTGCTTCTAGTATATACTAAAACAGTGGATAGTGTTTTTCGCGAGCTCTGATTGGCTACTCAATCAGTGAATACCCTGCACTATTCACTGATTCATCTCCACTGAGTTCCTCCGAGGGAGCGACGCCAAACTCGCGTAAGTTTCGAGCAAAATGCCTTTCCGGTTTGCTGCCGTAACAAACAACGAAATTTCACAACTAATCAAGCAAGCTGTTCCCGAAATACAGGAAGAAGGTGACGAAGTTCGGAGTGCAAGTTTTAACGGCTAAAGCTTTGTCTTTTTGACTAGAATTTATCGATAAACCGGCGAAAAAGTTTTTTTTTGCAAATGCAAATTAAGCTTATGTCTTGCGTTACTTTATTTAGTTGACTTGTTCATGAATAAGCTTAAAACTAAATCTAATAATATTTTTTACAGAATGATTTTAAATACAAAAAGAATTCACAACTCCTTTTGAGGAAAGTTCCCCGCAAGAGCTAAACAAATGCCTTCAAAAGTTTTATTTGTCGGCAAGAAAAAGCGACGACCGCGGCCGTTCGGTCATTGCGCGCCAAAATTGTAATCGTTGCAGGAAACAGTAAATGAGTCAAAAATCATCAGTTTTGTGCTGAATTATCTCACTGTTTTAGTACATACTAAAACATACTACTATTATTAACCTCAGTGTCGGTGGCTAGTGGTGGGTATTTGCCTCGCAGCTAACGCGGCCTCGGTAAATACTTACCACTAGCCACCTCCACTTCGGTGAATAATTGTTATTTATTAATTCACTCAAAATATTGCTCCGTTTGTGATTAGTTCAAATCCCAAGGATACTTCATCGTAACCAGCTACTGCTGACCAAATTGGAAAGAATTCTGCGATATGTGACAAATGATGTCAATTCTACATTATAAATTTCCTGAAAACTGGACAGTTAACCGAGAAGCCCTGGAGACGAGGTTTAGGAGTAAAAAATGGCGGAACAGTTAACTCGTTTCGCGAAGAAGAAATATGCAAACTACTGGCTGAAAACTTAGCAAGAACCGCAAGAATACAACTCCACAGACGACATCTGCAATTTGGAGAATATTTGTGGTGATGCATAATAATGAATTGGGTACGTATTGTTTCCAGCGGCGGTTTTTTGCTCTTTCTACTCCTCCTTCGGTGTCTATATCTTGATGGAGAATATCTCAAACGACTCGTGACAGCTCGTTGCCTCCGCCTTCTCCGTCTCACCTTACTCTACATTGCCGACTCTGATAAATTTATGTTGCTTTGCCCATCCTGCGAACAATGTCTACGGAATTGCTGTTGATTACCCATTGTCTTGTTGCTTTTTGGTTTATATGTCGTCTAATTATCCTATATTCTTCAAACGGCCTGAGATCAGGCTTTACAGATGTCATTGCGCATATTTTTCCAACAAAATAGCATCGTTCCATCTTTTGCTAATTGGCGATTTGGTATTTAACTTGAATTCTGGACCCAATTAATCTCGGTGATTGTTTCAACACGCAGTTATCATAACCGTGAAACTCAATTGTCATCTTCGTCGCGAAATATTAGCAGTTTAATTAGCGTCCGTAGTTCATCTGTCTTGACTCCAATTGTTGCAGATAAACACCTCTTTGATTACATATGCGATTGCAATGCTGAACTCAGTTGTTGCGATCACTAATACTTGGCTGACTACTGACGACGCTGCTGTGCGAGCTGAATTGTGCCCGGTCGGGTACAAAATTTCTGATCGCCCACGTACTGGTCGTCGTGGTGGCGAAGTGGGCTTGATATACTATGACTTGCTATCTGTCTGAAGGAATGATGCTGGCGAGAAAGAATCCTTTGAATACTCTGAATGGACCATCTCATCACCTTCCCTCAATCTTCGTCTTGTCCTTCTTTATCGTCCACCGTATTCAGCTGATCACAGAGTCTCAACTACTGCTTTCTTCAATGAGTTCTCTACTTACATTGAAACCATCCTTCTCTCCAAAGAGCATTGTTGGTGACCTAAATATCCACGACGATGTCTCCCACGATCCTCACTGAGTCAAACTACTAGATCTTTTAAAGTCTGTCGGCCTCCAGCAATACATCACCGAGCCTACCCAAATTCAGGGTCACACACTTGATCACGTTATACAATGCTTAGTAATTCTGCTATTCGTCGGTTATCCAGGAAAACGCCCATGACGCCAGGCTTCTCTTTCGATCTATAGATAAGCTACTGCAAAGGCAAACTGAGAAGCATTATCCTTACGCGGATAATTAATGATCAATAACTTACTTAAGCTTTTGCAGATTTTTCACTGCCAAGAAAAAAAAAGGATTTGTGAGGAGCTTGTACTCAGGAAAGTGGACTTGTTCACTCCCCTGGTCTGGCTGAGCCGACCTGCCTGTCATGGTTAAGTGAGTATGATTTCGTCACTGATGAGGACGTCTTGAAACTGATCAGAAGTTCCACTATCAAGGCGTGTAAACTTGATCCCCTACCAGCAACCATAATCCGAAGTTGCTATTCGGCTCTTGTCCCGGTATTCAAAACGGTAATCAAACTGTCGCTGTCGACTGGATCGATGCCAGAGGATCTAAAGATTGCTTCGCTGCGGCCGCTAGTGAAGAAACCGAATGCTGACTGTGAGCAATTTTCCAACCAGCGCCCTGTGTCCAATATGAAGTTTCTTTCAAAACTGGAAAAAGAAGTCTGTATTTGTGCAGTTGAATAATTATGTTACGGTTAATGGCTTGCACGAACGTTTCCAATCTGCGTACAAAGTACACCACAGTACAGAGACCGCACTGCTAACGACCACAAATGACATCTTACTGTCACTGTACAGGGGGGACAATGTGCTCCTACTGTTACTGTTACGGTTAATAATTCTTTGCTACTTTAGCGTTTGGAGAACTCGTTTGACATTGCGGGAACTGTTCTGCAGTGGTTTCATTCATATCTGTCTGGCCGATCTCAGTTTGTCGAAATTAATGGAACAAAATCGTCGGTTAGGGATCTGACTGTGGGAGTTCCGCAGGGCTTTGTCCTAGGTCCCAAATTTTACCTATTGAACACCGCCACACTTGCTGAGATAATTCGAAGTCACCACAAAACTTGCAAATCTGGATTTTTCCATTTATACAATATTCACATTTCCGAAAGTATCTGTTTCAGGAATCTGCTCGCACTTTGGTCCATAGATTAGGTCGTGTAGATTACTGCAACAGCCTTCTATCTGGTTTACCCTCCGTTCATCTACTTAAACTACAACGCTTTCAGAATGCAGCTGCTCGGCTTTTATCTAATGTTCCTTGCAACAGTCACATAACACTAGTATTCGTGACATTGGCTTCCTGTCAAATTTCGTATTGATTTTAAAATACTTCTTCTTACTTTTAACGCTATCTACGTTCACGCTGCTGGTTACTTGATTGACTTGATTGCTATAAAAGAACAGCCGCCCTATAATCTCCGTTCAGCTAGCGGTCTTATTTTAAAATGTCCTAGTTTAAAACTGAAAAAGAATTTTCATCTGTGGCCCCTAACTTACGGAACAATTTGCCCCCTTCACATCCGTCTTGAGGACAGTTTTGAACGTTTTAAATCTTTACTTAAACGCACCTCTTTAGACTAGGTTTTGATATGTAATGTTTCTAACCTACTATGTAATATATTCAGTGATTTTATTAAGATTTTTAGCATTGTATACTTTTTAGCTTTAGTTACTATCTTCAGTTTAGCTTTTATTGTCTTGTAACATTTAAAGCATCAGTTATTACGCGCTTTTGACCATATTTACATGCAAAAAGGGCGTTATAAGTTTTTATTATTATATTACAGTCAAACCTCTCTAATTCGGACACCGAAGGGACAGAGCGAAGTGTCCGTATTAGAGAGGTGTCCGTATAAAAGAGGTCACTATGACGACATCACTTTTATGACTCCACTTACAGTTGTAAGTGTTCAGGAGCTAAAACCAGGCTCACACTAGTCTTTAAACTGCAGTTAAAGTTATTAATTCACAGTACAGAGACACTGTCTTTCAGTAGCATACAACATTTTGCGCCTCAGCTACAGGCAAATTACTGTTTTAAAACGCAACGAGCAACAGCACAATGCTGTATGTAAAAAGTTGTAACGCAAGGCACAATTCAGGAAGCGTCTTTCGCTATTTTGCGAGAGCAGTAAATAGTAACTAGAGTACAAAATGTAATAGAAAAGATCTTTATGCTATCTGTAGTTATTGAAGCCTTCAAAAAGTCGGTTATGTTCCTCTGTGCACCCCTCGCAAATCGTTGTTTGGTATACAGCGATTGGGCTTTATATCACCTTGCATAGCTCACCAGCCAGACTAGACGGGATTCACCACGTGCAGATACAACTGAGCAGGGTTCGGGATTCACCTGATCACCGCAGTGTCCATAATAAAGAAGTTAAGTTTATATGAATTTACTCTCTGAGGCCGAGATTTAGTGTCCGTTGTCCGTATTAGAGAGAGTCCGCGTTGTAGAGGGTTTTTTTTTTAAGAAAATATATCAGAATTTTGAGCGGGACATTGGAAACTGTCCGTAATAGAAAGGTGTCCGTACCGAGAGGTTCGTCTGTGTTATTATTAAACCTTAACATCCCTTTATCTCTTAAACTTTGCCGATAAATAGGCAATTAAAGATGAACTCAGCATTGAGCATTGAGTAAGCATGTTTTAGCTTGTTTTTAAACTAGGAATTATTTTGAATGAGTAATAAAAGGATTATTGAATGCAGCTTTAGTATACTCATCTGAAGAATCATGGAGATTTCAGAGGGTGTTATGGCTTCGGCGGATAACACCCTCCTCGATCTCCATAATTCTTCGGATGATACTCAACCTCATCCAATAATTGTTAAGTAACTATTATTATTATTCTATTTTTTATGTATTACTATTTTGGGGCAGGGGGGTGGGGGAGGGGGCTTCAATATTTTGCGTCTTGGGGAACACTAGCTACAAACCTTTTCGGGAGCTGTTCAGGCCACTTTTTTTCTCTGGACTCACATGCATGCATACATACATTACCTTTATGTATACTCGATTTTCAGAGTAGCCTGAAATGCTAATATCTCCGAGAACATAAATAGTATAAAAGAGAAAAAAGAAATAAAATAGAAAAGGAAAATCTATTAACATTGGGTTACATTACATACATGAAAAATCTTAAAAATTCCATTATGTCTGAAAGGAGATTACTTTGAGGAGTCTTCTTAAACCAGCTAAATCAGGCTCAGATCTTACATGTTACATTGCTTCCGAAGTTATTTGTCAGTGGTCATGTCAAGCAAGTTAGGGAGGCTTCGACCGGAAAAGAGAATTGGTGGTCAGTGCTCCCTAAAATCATAGCATGGTATTCGTCCAGATTAAAGATCATGCCGTTTTCTGAATAACCAGAAAAAGGAAAAAAGAAATGAAATAAAAAGGAAAATCTACAAAAATGTTTAAAAAACCATTATGTCTGAAAGGAGATTAGTTTCAGGAGTCTTTTAAAACCAGTTAAAGTAGGCTCAGATCTTACATGTTTCATGTCCCCGATGTTATTTGTCAATGGTCATGCCAAGCAAGTCCAGGAAGTCTTCGATAGGAAAAGAGAATTGGCATGGTGGAAATCATAGCATGGGGTTTGTCGGGGTTAACGATCATGCCGTTTTCTGTATACCACTGTTTCGCACTTTGGACCTGGTGAAGTATCCGCTGTTCAAAGGCTCTAGGATCCACAGCCGAGTCATAAAGTTGTTCGTCATCAGCGTAGGCGTGAATATTAAGGTCCTTTATGTGGGAGAAAAGATCGTTCACGACATGTTAAATAAGATCGGCCCGAGCACATTTCCCTGCGGAACTCCTCTGATGATCTTCTGCCATCCTGAGAAAGAACCTCCAACTTTGAACCTTCGTGTCCTGCCGCTCAGGTAGCCCGCAAACAATGCGCTTGCGCTGCTACTAAGACCGTACGCTTTCAATTTTACAAGTAGAATAGAATTTGGAATAGTATCGAAAGCTTTCGACAGATCCATAGCTACGACAGCTACCAGTTCCTTCCTCTCGCGGCATGCGCGCCAGTCTTCCGTAAGCTTGAGAAGCGCGGTCTCACGTCCGGCACGCCAGGCCATTCATTTCTAGCCAGTTTTTTAACTGACCATTGCGTGTTGCGAGTAACGATCGAATTGCGCGCGTGTTACTTCCGATAAAAGTACTATGAAGCATTTTTCTCAAACAGAAAAAAATAGTAGACACGTCTGTTTTGTTTTGTTTTTTTAATAAATCGTAAAGAGAACCTGTTTTCTTTTTGCCGTCGTCGTGGTCGTTGTTAAAGCTCCCTAATACTACCTGCTTAATAGCACCACACATGTTAATCTAAATAACAACCCGCTGAAGACAATAGAGAGGTGTAGTAAATATTGCTTCTAAATGAAAGTTGCCTCAGCGTGCATATCTAAATAAAGCTCAGCGTTCATTTCTCAAATGAGTTTCAGGCTTCACAACCAACAAAAGGTAACCTTGAACTCTCGGGAATGTGGTTGTCTGTTTTGTTTGTTTGTTTTGCTTTTGTTCAGTTTTTGTTTCTTTAATACAGCTAGAGGCTTTTTATTTTACCGCCTACCGCGTTATTTGATATGAAGTATATTCATATGGTGAAAAGTGCTATATTTTTAATATAAAAAGCAGCGTCGAAAAAAATCATACCAGTTTATATCTTCAGTTCGCAAAAACATAGACAGAACAAAGTTTTCTGATAATTTTTTCTACCTTGACACTGTCACAATATCTTATTTCAGTTGTAATTCGCATATCCTCGAGGTTTTGATACAGGGTAGTGAAGTTGTACCAGTATTAATTAATTAATAGGATATGCTAGACGACACCTGCATGCCTGTTAAACTACGATAAAATTTTAATAATCTTGTCATATTCTACTACCATTGTGAAAATTCTTACACAATGAATTGTTAGCTATTGATAATTCACCCCGTTTCCCTATTACCTAAAACATACATCGCGGTAAAAGAAACTGGAACCACACGCGTACACGTTTGTTTGTATACTGACAAAAAAAGTCCATTATTTGTCACGTTAATGACAAGCAAAAGTAGCCATGCATACGTTAAAGTTAATGCCACGAATAAATTAAGAGAGGCAGTTTTTTGAACATAATAATTTTAGTAAGCAAGCTGATCAGACGTATAAAAGACGAGGGGCAAAATTTTTTATGCTTCTTCAAGACAAAAGAAGGTTAGGATGTGTTTTCGATGAAAGATTTATATTTTCAGAGTTCCCACTGTATTAATTTTTTGCACTAAGGAGAGCGAGAAAGGAAAAGTAGAACATAACTGAAGTGTAATTTAAAGGTAAAAAATAATCTCTCTGCTACATTGCTGAACTTCGTGCACTTTTTGTACTATGATTTCGAAGACCCTTTTATTAATCCGGTTTCTAGTCGATCAAGTAAACTAGCCAGTGCTTTTCTCATGTTTATATAGCCAGGGTATTGGAATCATAATTTCACTTCACCACTTCACTTTGATAAAGATAATTGAAGAGCGATTTAAAGGTACAGAATAATCGCTCTTTATAGTTGTACCTGGTACACTTAGCTCCTGTCATTTCGGAGACCCTTTTAACCCTTCTAATCGATCGAATAAACTAGCCAGTGCTTTTTTCATATATTTTTTACCAAGGTATTGGAATAATTATTTCACCTCACAGTTTGGTAAAGTATACTTTATCTCTTAACATTGCCAAGACATTAACTAAACCTTTTAATCAAATCCATAGGCAAAGTTATTAAAAAAGGAAATGACAAATGAGACCTGTGAAAATAAGTCTATTGGGCTTAACAATATCGACAAAATCGCTCTATCATCATGGTTTGGAATCGCTGGTTTGGCGGCTATAACTGGAAACGCAGTTGTCGTATGGCTGATAGCCAAAAATGCGTCTCTAAGAACAGTTTCAAATATTTTCATAACTTCTCTGGCAGTGGCGGACTTCTTCGTAGGACTCGTTATAGCTCCAGTGTGGATAAGCCGCTGCTTGTACTCAGACCAATATGAACACAAGTTTGCTTTGGCCATTGACTACCTCTGGATTCACACGACGGTGGCTACAACATTTAACTTAAGCTGTATCACCCTTGAGCGAAATATTGCAATATTTCACCCTCTTCGCTACCAAGAGATTCTTACTGAGAAACGATGTTTTGCAGCGATAGCAACAATTTGGTTTATGTCGCTAGCTCTCCCCTTTTCGAGGTTCTTCATTAACGGGGACAGCTCCGCCATAATGGCCTTATGGATGGCATTTACAGTCATCACTGTCTTGATACCCATGATCATCATTGTATTGAGTTCTGTTCGGATTTTAAGAGCTGCTGCACATCAGTCGAAACGAGTCGTGCCTTCCAGCAATTTGGCGAAACAAGACGAAATTAAAAGAAATAAAAAGAACTACAAGGCTGCCAAAACTGTTAGCATAGTAGTAGGGCTTTTTGTAGTGTCCTGGTTACCAAGTTTAGTCACATCTTTTGTAAATTATTTTACTCAGTCTGGTTACTGCGGTCTCCTTTACTATTACAACACAGTGTGGTTATGGGTAGAAGCGGTTGCATTCACTTCCTCGGGAATTAACCCATGGGTATACTGCTTGCGAAATAGATTATACTATCAAGCATTAAATCGCAGTTTCCGCAGTAGATTGAACAGGGCCAGTAGCTTTAACTCTTGACAGATTTCTTTGAATTACTGAGAGACAATTAAAAATGCGGAGTACTGTGGCAGCAGGTGACCTCTCCTCTTTTGCACTTATAGCACCCCAATGCATTTGTATGAAAAACTGTTAAGTAATTTGTTTATAACCATGTGTTGTCATCAATTTATGCCCCACCAGTCGATAAAGGTATATAGCAAGATAAACCAAGTTATTATACATTCAACTCACTATCTCTTTTCTGATTGGCTGAAAGCGTACAGTGAATTTCGAAATCAGCGCCTGGGACATCATCTAGCTGCAGATTATACAATAATCATGTCATGGACACTCAAGGTCACGGGTAATCATGTCATGTATGACCGCGGTGTATGATTTCTAAGGGTAATGATGTCAAGTTCGCGAGCTTTGTGTTGTTTACCGTCAGTGAAGAGGCAAAAACTAGACTTCCAGGTTTGCTTCGTTGACCGAGCAAGACATCGAAAAAATAGCTGAAGACAAGGACTCACAAACACAAAAAAGGTCGAGGAAGGTGGCAAAGTAGCTATTTGCTGATTATGTGAAAGAGAAAAAACTGAGAGAACCTGAGGAAAAGAAAGAGTTAGCACAAACTGTGAAAACATTTCATGTTGAAGCGAGAAAGAAAGGATTCGTTCAATGTAGATTCGGTTTTTGTGATATCCAGAATAGTCAAGGTCTCAGTAAGGGTTATCAGCCTCAGCCCACCTCGACATTGATTATTCTGGATATCACAAAACCCTCACCCAATAATTGTTTAATGTTGATACTAGAGAAGGCAATACACGGGAAATTGGGGCCAAAGGATGACTTAGGTCCTGTTGACACGCCGAACATAAATCGAGTTAAGATAATTTCCTTGTTTTGCACTGCGCATCGCCCAGTAAGCATACTATTGCTTCTACAAGTGTGGCGGTGATTTTCACCGGTCACCGAAAAAGAAATAATTATTTATATGGCTCCTTTTATCGTGCTATTGCCTTTAATAGTGATTCTGATTATTCTACCCGGCTTTAAGGGTGTTTGTCTTGAATCTCGCCCCAGTCCCCTCGGGCAATATGACCATTTGAAGCCGAAATTATCCCTTTGTTGTCGTTTTGAGAGGAAACGAGGACGGTGAACACGCTTTTGTATTTGTGTCTTATACTCGCTATGGCTACACAACAGATATATAATTAAGGAGAAAAGAATCTGGATAGTTGAAGTTTTATTTTTTTAGATATGAATGACTTGAATTTCCGCCTTTAGAGCCACAGAGGAGTAAGAGATAATGTGAAAACAGTCCATTTCTCAACCCCTTTTACAACATCGCGTAATTTGAGGTTATTTAGTTTAAAATGTATAACCCAGACAAAAAAAAAAAAAATAGGCTTAAGCTTTTAGTAAGATTGTTCCAGGAGGGATGAAGAATTTTAGCTGCTCTTCTTAATCTCCGTCTCAGACCGCCTTCGCGCCTCCATTTTTGCTGAAAATTTCCCAGACTATAGTCTTTTTTAATAATTTTCCCAGACCCAGGCGCCTGGAAGTAGTTCTTTCTTGCGCCCACTACTTCCAAGCGCCTGCTACGCAGGCTACATCTCCTAGGACCGGTGGAGCCTCTGACTCGATAGAGATGTCTCAACTCTCAAATATTGAGGCAATAAACGTCTACCCTGAAGAAGATCATTTGATGATGTCATATTACGTCAAAAGAAGCCGCCGTCTTGGATTTTCGTAAAGAAAATTAAATTATAATTTTCAAAAATGAATTAAATAATGCTGAAGTAGTGTAGATTAGGAAGTTGAAAATCTTTGGACGTAAGAAACCTTCAGAAGTCAAAAAATGATTGCGCTTCAACAAGAGCCATAATAGGACTCTTGGCTTGAAGAACTTTTAAGTGATTTTGCCCTGATGGAATGTATTTATGTTTTTATTTGGCCGTCTCAAATTTATCCGTCAACTTTTCCGTCTAAACCGACGGGAAAATAGGACGGCGTCTTGGACGGAAAGCTGTCTTAAATTCATATCAGACGCTAGCCTGTTCCAGGCTCCGAGATAGTGGAGAAAAGTCGTTCAGTAAAAAGAAATGCGAAAAACGCGCGGGGGCTGGGGAGAGACAGGGCGCCGCCACAGCCCCCTTTCCTAAGTCGCGCGCGTCTTATTTTCGTTTTGCTCGTTTTAATATGTCCCCACTATACTATCTGAGAGCCTGGCACAGGCTAATCAGACGCGAAAATCTAGAAGACGTTTTTGAGCTGGCACTCAAGGAAAAGACTGGAACTAGCAAGCTAGCAACTGTTTCTGGGTAAAAGAGAAGCAGACGATCTTAAACAACAAAGTTTGGACGAGAGAAGAAACGAACAGAATATATTTTAAAAGAATATCGACGCGAACCTTTAAGAATATTTTAAGAATAAACGCCAGGCTGAGATTTTGAAAAGGATATAATTTTGTGTGGTGAAAATGTGTGAATACAATACAATTATATGTTTTCAACGTATTTCCTTCTTTTAACGGCGAAACTAGCTAACAAAACGACAAAAAAAACGCACTAACTACAATTGATACCCCAATATATTCTAAAACGGAAATGTCATAAGCTATTATATTATATGCAAGACTATTTTCAGCCTAAAATAGGCGGATAAAAAAAGAGAATATTCTGTCTCATGGAATTCTGTCTGTGGTGAGTTTTCCGTCTTGATGAATTCGGCCATTAACAGAACTGAAGTTTTCAATGTACTCTAGCGAAAAAGAAACCTGACCGAAGTTTCATTCGTAAAACACGCATCACGGGATTTCAGTTCATGGTACACTGCAGCTAAGCGCCCGTCTATTGACAAGTTTACGTTTTCGGAAATTTGAAATAAAATCCAGTTACCTCGCTAAATGCGCAGGACGCCATTGGGCCTCCTTTCTATCCTTGGTTATTTAACTAAGTGTATTATGTGTATTTTGGTAGGAAAGCTTAATAAATCAGTTATACATTGGCACGGCGCCATTATAAAACGGAAACAAAATTTCACGTCACTTACAATCATGGAGAACATACTTTTGTTATGAATCATTAGCAATGATAATTTTCAGTGATTGCGTAAAATGCATGGAAATTGCAATGAATGAAGACAACCGCCCGCTGCGGGGCAAAAGAGGCTGTTTTCTTTGAGCCTGATATGTGGCGTACTTGGAAAGAGAAGTCCTTACTATTAAATCGATTCACTCTGCATGAATATCTTTGACAACCAGTTCGATTTGATTTTGTTCGATTCAAGTAGATAATGTTGGTGGAATGACGCAGCATTGCAGGTTAAATTAAGCAGGTTATTTTTAATTTCCTTCGAACAAAATCGTACGTCACTCTTATGACACCATCGGAAGACTGACATCTTACGAAAAGGAAATCTCTATAGCTTTTATATGCGTTATGATCAGTAACTAGCTAACAACTTTTAAAACGGTGAAAGGGTCTCACCTTCTAGGCATAATGAAAGAAACCTATATATCAAAAATAATAAACGGTTGTTTCAAGGCTCGTGAGCCATTAATCACAAAAGCGGAATAGTTAATTGCAAATGACTTCGATTCGATTATTTAGCTCACCAGGCTTTAATTTTATGCAAATATTTTCTCGCCCACCGATTCCCTCGAAGACACTGACAAGGATACTGTCTTTTCAATAAGAGTTCGACAGGAAAAACTCTCAGTTTGCCACACACAAGAGATCTAACCCAGTAACATCCAGGCTGCTAGTTTCTAATTTGCAAGGTTGGGTAAAGAGAGCTAAGGGATTTCGGGCTTCAGGGGTCATAGAGCAGTCGACGCCGTGCAAGACTTCTAAAAATAGTTTGGTGAGTATGTATTCTAGATCTAGACCTAACAGTTTTTCTAATATCCGTCGCTTATGCCCTTGATTTTAAAAAATCGTCGTCAAAACCATTTTGGGCCACTTTCGTCGAGTAGGAGTAGGTTATTGTCCAGGCCTCACCAGGTACTTTGACAACGTTTAAAGAAGCAGCTGCCACCATTTAACCTCGCTTATTAACTTCATGACTGCATGAAGTCGACATGAAGTTCTTAATTTTTCGTAGTTTACTAACTTGCGATGGGTTTACCTAAAAAGTCGGTCTTGATTGCAAGCCCCACAAAAAGCTAACTGTTTTTCAAATTCGGTGAAACAGTTAAAACAGTTGTGTATTAAGACAGACGCCAACAATCAAACATCCTTAAACTTTTGTTATACTGCTTTGCCAGCTAGGGGGTGTTTTGTGTCACATTTTGACGAAAGTATATATTTCAAAACTATTATAGGCACATAGAGATTTATTTTCTTTTGTTGTGTAACTTAAACCTATCAAAATATCCTGACCGCCGTTCAACCAAGAAAACGTTAACACTAATTACAAGGAGAACTGATAAAAACTGTTTGAAAGTCAAAATCTAGCATCCAAACAGTGTTAAGCCTTAAAAGTTAAGCTTTAAGGAGAGTCTGAAATCAGTAGGTAATGATGTAATATGTTTCACTCGAGGCTTTTCAATTAAACAAAGTCAACATGAAGAGGTCAAAGCGGATATTTAGAGTTGATGGTTTCTCAATAGTGTTGTCCATTGAATCTTTATCGAGAGTGGAAGAGGTTTTCAAGTAGTCATGAACTTTTATCGTCAATACTGCTTATCAACATTTGAAATTATCTTTTTTGGCATTTGATATTGATAGAGAAAACCAAGTTTTTGAAAATGTGTGTAACACTCACTTACGTCAACAACCTAAATTTTTTGGAAAATTAGCTTTTTATACCACAGCACAGTCTTCGCTATACAGAAGCTATACTGAGTGAACTACGCTTAAAGGAACTGAATATGTCTTCATTCCTGCCTTGATCAAAGACGGTATCTGAATTTTATTATTTGTGCACGTATAAATACTCATTTGTAGATTCGACGCCAATCACCAGTGAACCATCGAGACGCTCTCTATCATTAATATGGACGACCGACCCAAACATGAAATGTGACCATTCAG